TGGGGGGGGAGAGAAAATCACTACGGAGTCAACAAATACAGCAGCACTGAAAGGGGCAGAGACATCATGGAAACTGCAACTTCCTGGTTAGGGCCGGCTCTTCCCTCCCAAAATGGGAGCTGCAACAATGTAACAGACACAGAACCCTGGGTGACCATTTGCCTTCCAGTTGACAGAGGGGGTGTCTGAAATGCCGGCACCCAGCCTCTAACTGAAGGGAGAGCATGACGACCTTGAGTATCAGCGTCCCCAAATGTCCCTCCCTGCCACCGACAGCCTCCGATCGACAGCCCAATTGCAGAAGCGTGATAGCTGATTGCCCTCTCAGCTGTGTTGGGCATCTCTAAAGCAGCCACAGCGCATTTGGACTTGGCACAGATGGGTCGCTGTGGTATCCAGCCTGTAATAGCTGCTGGCAGAGACGTGCCGTGTGCCGCGACTTGCCGGGGGAGCCAGCGGGGGCCAGCGGGAGAGGAGGATGAGACGGAATGGAGCCCCCAGCTCCCGCCACAGAGGAAACGCAAATAAAACCATAGAAGCTGTCAGTGAGAGACATTCTGTCCGCATGTTTGATTATGTTTTTATGCTGTCTGCATAATTAGCTAGGCAATTATCAGCAAAAATAGATATTTTTTATTAATATATGCTTAAAGTATTTGCTGAACAAAGCATTTATATTCAGCATTTAATATTTTATAAGGAGTTCAACAGCTGGGTGAATATTTATCATCCCTTAAACATATATAGTTAGCTAATCTTTTTAATAGTTCACTCTTAGCATTATGCAGCATTTAGCATAGCATGAATGTGATGGTTTTATGTATGCATTATACTTACTGGTCACTGTGTGGGCAAAGGGGGTAACAGTCTTGAATGGCACTAGTAGAGGGAATGTACATACGAGTGTGAGCTAACGGTCATTTAGAGATGCCAATTAGCCTGAATAGTGTACCTTTAGATCTATGGAAGGTAATCGCAGGAAATCCATGTAAATTAGGCAATGGGATGGGATTTGAACCCACAACCTATAAGCTTCCAAACTACCTATTAAGCCACTTCTGCACCAATTCCTTTTTCCTTCTAAGAAAACGTGGGGGGCGGCCTGGTGGCGCAGCGATTAGCACTGTTGCCTCACACCTCTGGGACCAGGGTTGAAGTGTCTGCCATGGCTGTGTGTGTGGAGTTTGTATGTTCTCCCCACGTCTTTGTGGGGTTTCTTGAAGATACTCAGGTCTCCCCCCTCAAATTGCCCGTAGATGTGCATATGTGAGTGAATGGTGGGTGTGCCCTGTGATGGGTTGGTGCTCCATCCGGGGTTGTTCCCTGCCATGTGTCCATAGGCTCCTTACCCCCATGACCGTGAATAGGACAGGCAGTTACAGAAAATGGATGGATGTCGCAAATACAAGATGACAGCTTACTGAACCCACATAACAAGAGCTGAAATCCTTGTGCTTTTATCATAGTAAATGAAATCCTTCCCTACTCTGCATTATTTAAAATGTAAACCAATTAACATACGAGCCTAGTGAATTATTAACGTTAAACACAGTGGCGTACCTGAGGGTAAAGAGTGGCTCTCGATTCCCATCCGAAAATAAAATGCTGAGCACCGATGTGTACCTTAGTGCATGTGCAAAAAGCAACGAATAAAACGTCTACAGATAGTTGGCGAGGAGGCCAAGAGGTGGACAGGGACCATATACAGTGGTACCTCAGTTCTCAAACTCATTAGAACTGAAATTTCTTAAAAGTCGAACCAACCAGTTCGGAAAAAAATTACAGAGTACTCGATCTGTATCTCAGAAGTCAAATTGTGAATGCCAACCTAAGATAACTTAGGCGCAGGGGAAATGAGTCACGCGGCACGTCTCTCAGAGGAAACAAAGGGTAACGCTTCAGTCTCACTGTGATAGCAACGTGCATGTTTACACAAGCTGAATACATATATTTAGACAGTAAAAATACATTTAGACAATGATAGACAGTAACAGTAATTATTATTATATAATAAAATGCATTTTAAAATAAAGATTTGTTATTAAATATTTTAAGATTAATAATAAACCATGAATACATTTCATTATAATAATATTGTCGTGCCGAGCGAGCAGACGTCAGGGTATCGGGGAATACCGGGTTTAATTACAGGTAAAGCAGGCAAAACGCAGACGGACAATACAATGACCGGACTGGGGAAACAAACTGAAACATGGATGAAATAAAGAGGACTAATAATAATAATAATAATAATAATAATAATAATAATGACAACAACCAGAAACAGCTGATCACACGGGGATTCCACACAGGGTTAACGAGGGAGCATGGCACACGGAAGGAGCGGACGATCGGGGCAGAACACATTGTTTTTTTTATTAACTTTACACATTGGATACATTTATTTTCTTACTTTACAAATTACTGTTTTGATAAATGTCCTTAGATGTGTTTAGTACAGTATATGCTCTTTTTGTTTTATCCGGTTTATTTTGGGTTTACATGCTTAAAAAAACATATTTAGGTTTCATTTTTTGGGGCTGGGAACCAATGAATTGGTTTTCCATTATTTCTTATGGGGAAAATTCGATCAGAAACCGAACTTGTTAGTATGTGATCCGGAGTTCTGAACGGATTAAGTTCGAGTTCTGAGGTACCACTGTACACACCAGCTAAAAGTGTTAGCGCAATAGCTAACATATAACTACTACAGTAGCTAGCAAATAGTTAAAAAAAGACAGATGTAAAACCTTAATTAGTTGTGGATATCCTCACGGTTACTTTAATTTATATTTTAAAATAATTAACATCTGTGCAGTGTTTAATGAGAGATCCAAGTGGAAAAAAGATACAGACCAGTAAAATAATTAAAAGCAAGGCCACAAAATAATTGCAAAATATGACACAGCGATCGTCAGATTTCTAGGACGCATTTATATGAGGTCCACTCACCGTGGGACGCTTGTGCATTATTACATTCTAATTTTGGGCCCGTTCGTCTTTTTATTCCTCTGATAAAATAAAATATGTCTGACCTTTCTGACGTATAATTTTATTCCTTTTCAGAACACCCTGTCGTTTTCCACCACGCAAGGTGACCACCTTTACAGTTTCCCTAATTCATTACTGTAATTACAATGCATCCAGTCCATTAAGGGCCGACCGTGATTCAAAGAGGCAGCCTTTCTTAAAGACCTCGGGTCTGGAGCAGCTTCCGATTTCCCGAGACACTCTTGCTAAGTGCTTTTGACATGAATCTACTCGGTAAGCGACAGGAACCGTCTCCATTTAAAACACCGCATGCATGCAGCCAATCAGGTTTTTTTTATTGCCTCACATGCCATATTTTTGAGTGTGTTTATAGATCTGAGACGTATCGTTCAGCGTGAAACTGCAATGGATTGAGCTCTGAGGGTTTGGCCACAAAGGATTGGGTTCTAGGCCCGTGGCTTTTGATAGAACTCCCCTAAGGTTGGGCAGTCCAATTAGTCACACCGCATTACACAATCTTTTGAACTGTCGTCCTGAAGAAAATAAGTTGACGTGCTTTTCATTAAGGCCAATTTGCATTTAAAAGAGGAGATTAGCGATATTCCCACTTTCCAATTAATCTAACTTTTAATAATGCATTAGTGCACTGACGTGCCTCTGACCAGCGTGTGAACCTCTGCACTCCTGGTGAGGTCCCCGGTTGAAGTCCAAGGCGAGGCAAAGCACCATTTCAGTCACTGAAGAAGGTGGGTCATGAATTTTCAGGGCCTGGCTGGGCTGGCTCTAGCTATAGACAGAACAGGCAGTTGTCTAGGGCCCCCGAATTATCTGTGTTGCCGAGGAAGCGAAATGGTTGTCAGTTTTCTTATAGGATACGTTGGTTTTCAGTATCGCTATTCAGAATCCAATCAGTGACCACAATTCAAGGAACCCCTCCCCATTCATGTCATGTAAGAGATCCGATAGGCTTACAGAGAGCTAGAGCTTCTCTTCCGAAGCGAAAATAAATTTATAGCTTAATGAACTATATTTGCTATCATGACCCCTCCAAATCAAATTTACTTCTCTGAACTCGGGGGGGGGGGGCTTCCAAAGACAGCTTTGTCTAGGGCCCCTAAAAAGATAGAACCTGCCCCCAGTGGCGGTTCTACACGGAGGCCTAGGGAGGCCCGTGCCTCTGTAGACATGTCCCTGGCCACCCCTGTGGCCCCCCAGTGCTGACCAAATAAAAAAGTATGAATTTATTATGATTTTACACACGAGCGCCAAAAGCGGAACTAATGCGACGCATCGTTCTACACGGGTAAATTAGAGCGGCGCACCCAAACACTGTGGTGCTGCTCCGTGAATGAGAGCGCAGCAACAGCTAGAACCACCCTTGGATAGTGGAGCTACGATTAATTTCTTCTGTAGCAAGAGTCGAAGGTAAGCAAAACAATTTCATCTCGTGAGTGACTTGTTGTTCTTGCACATAACCGTGTTACTTTTGTTTTTCACACTGATAATGAAATCAAGTTTGGAAATGGCTGGTCTCGAGATGTTTAAAAACTTGGTAACACTTTTATATTTGTTACTGTATTTGTTCATCTTTGTTAACGTTAGTTAATAAAAATATACAGCTGTTCATTGTTAGTTCATGTTAGTTCACAGTGCATGAACTAATGTTAACAAGAATTTAATAAAGTATTAGTAAATGTTGAAATTAACATTAACAAAGATTAATAAATGTTGTATACGTGCAGTTCATTATTAGTTCACGTTAACTAATGTAGTTAACTAATGTCACTGTCATTTTTTAATGTGCCCCTCTGGTTAAACACTGGCCCCTTCTTGGCCCCCCTAGTAAAATTTGTCTAGAACCGCCACTGCCTGCCCCCTTCTCTGCACTATCTGGTCGATTCCGAAAACTCCCGTTGCCATTTACGAACGGAGGAGTCTTGAACGACAATGCCCCTGTCTGCAACCTTCAATCAAATTCTGTATCACATTAAAACAATTTTCATTTTGACACCTAATTTGCATTCCAGGCCCACGGATAGAGTAATTTCAGTTTTCGATAATTATTTCTGACTTTGTATTTGCTGTTGTTAAGCTCCACTCTCAGATTCTGAACGTGAATAGCTAATGTCTGGAACAATGCATTCGCCAGCTGCTCCCGCTCGTTCGGATGATTTCCTTTCGGTTGCAAGTGCTCAGGATGTTTCAGAGGGTCCTTTCTTGCAGTAGTTTAAAAGCATGACTGTTGTTTAACAATGAGTGTCATTTTGGGGGGGGGGGGGAAATCCTTCCATCAATTAGCAGCAAAAGTGGCTCACTTCTCTAACGCTAAGTGGTGGTTTGTCTTGATCAAAGGAGAGGTAAATGACTTTGAAATAGGTTTTCAGTACATTTCTAAGGAATATTAAAACTGCCATCAGTTTATTTCTTAAGTGGTATTCCGTAAAAGGTAACAGACTCGCAGAAACCCTTGACGTGTTTTTAGCGTGACGCTAATGCTAATAATAGCTAACGGCCGTTCCGGGCTGTTCCGAGAATACCTACCCAGTTGGCGGTGCTGACGGCCTGGTAGTAGATGCTGTAGCTCTTGTGGGGCAGCAAGGGTGCGTTCCAGTAGCCGCTGTACGTCCTGTTGTCACCGATGCTGAAGCGCTGGGGGGTCTGAATGCCGGTGGCGGGGAACTCCGCAGTGAAGTAGTAAGGCGAGTTGAGCAGAGTGGCATTCTGGAAGTGGATGGGTACGGGGTAGCAGCGCAGGATCTCCGCTGTTCCCCTGGCCCGACGGGGGCGCTCTTCTTCTACCACCACCTGGTACACACTGAAAGGCAAGGGGGGGGGGGTGTCTTTACGTAGGGTTCCCATTTTCAATCTTAAGAGATAAGGGATATAAAAATACAAGACAAATCACTTCCCATGGCATTTAAAAAAATTTTCAGAAGTATTTTCTCATAACCTTTTTATCTTTACTTTTTATATATTTCTATATTTTTGTACACATTTTGATACTTTATATTACTTTTATTTTGTTATCCTTCTACCTTTTTGTCTGGCATAGCTATATACTATTACATTCTTCTTGAATGTGTAACGTCACTTGAAAAACAGGCATCTCCTTGCCGGACTGAATAGCAGTCCATCCAAGCTGCCACCATCTGCCAAATCCCTTTAACAACAGCGTCACAAACACACAGATATAATCTGCATATCAGCAAAACCCAACAATCAAATGAGAGAAATATGAAATACTCGGATTCCTAAAAACGAGTGCAGATTTCATTCTAACATTTCATTTTAATGGAGCTGCATGGGCCGCTGCCACTGCAATCCCAGGAAAACAACACAGTCAGGAATTCTGGAGCAGGATCGGGTTGTCAGAGAGAGAAGAAAAAGCAAGTCTAAATATCCCGAAACAAGACAAAAAGAAAATCTCTTAACTTTAACCCAATAAGCACCTATGTTCGGTTTCTCAACGTAACATTTAGTGGCAGCCCACACGCATGCTAACGTGCATCTCTTGCATATAAACGCAACCTACAAAATGGACCCGGGGGGGACTGAAGCCAAAAGGGTCCAACCCCCCGAGCCAATTTGCACCTGGGTGAAAAGGACAGCATCTTAACAAGCCGGTTCCGTATCGGGGAAGGGTCTCCACTGCCTGGGAAGAGACAGGTTTAATTAACTTGGCAAAGCCCACGGCCAGGTTCTGAGCAGAGCCCCAACAAGCAGGCTGCTATCTAATTTATTGCGAGATAGTGGGCGAGTAATATCCCATCTATCTGGGATTTAAATGCTATGAGGCGGCAGCTGTCTTATGAAATTCCAGGGCTTTTCTCTCCATTCCAGGATATTAGGACTATGAACCCCCAGCCCCCCAGAGAACACGCATTTGTATGTGTGCGACAAATATAATAACAGGGAGAATAAAAAATGCCCTGCATTCTCAGCGTGGCGAAATTAAGTTGAATGGGAAAAAAGAAACCTGCTAGCTGGCTCTTATTAGGAAGTTAGGGCGCGTGACGGATCGCGTTCGAGTCGAATCCCCATTACAACGACAGGTCCATTCCACCAGAAGGAAAGAAAAACTTTTATCTTAAATAGCAGGGGGATATTACTTAAAATGAAAGGCAGGGTAAATCGTGAGAGAATCGGCAGAACTCCATCAGGGTAGCGCTAGAGAAATTAGCGGAAGTAGAATTCAGGCTTTAGCGTTACGCACTAGTTATATAATTTAAACTCCTAATGGTCAAGCAGCTGCTTTCCATCCCCTTTTATTAAAAAAAACAGGTGTGGTGTGTGGCTCTCCAGCTTAGGATACTGTGCCTGTGATCAGAAGGTTGCTGGTTCAAAGCCCAGGGTCAGCAGAGTGATGTCACCACTGGGCCCTTGAGCAAGAGCTCTCTCCCCATTTACTCCAGGGACTGTCTGCTTTTCCAAAAATGTGTCACTTTGGGTGAAAGCATCTGCTAAAGAAATGTAATAAAATGAAAAATGCAAGAGGCACCCCCCCCCCCAGACAGGCAGTACAGCTGTACTGTTGTTTAGTTTAGCGGTAAAATGGACTGAAATGTGAAGCTTGGTTCCAGGTCCTGAGGAGGTAAGGAGCACACGCTGACTACAGCGCATGACAAACCACCTCAGAGGTGAGACCTGAGTGCGGCCTTGTGGCAGGTGATACCTCAGCACCACATTAGTCCAAATGAACCAGTGTGAGGTTTTTGTTCCTGGCAGCTGGAGTGCCAATCCTGCCACCAATTTATTCCCTGTAAGTCAGAGGACCTCCTTATAAGGCTGGATGTAGATTAACGTCATACCCAAGATGGAGCGACTGCAGGTTAGGGGCCTTGCTCAAGGGCCCAACAGAGTAGAATCAGTCTGGGTTTTCACAGGATTTAAATCAGCAACCTTCCAGTTGCTGGCACAGATCCCTAGTCTCAGATCCACCACTCCATCCAGGTCCTTGGGTGGAGGTTAGAGTTAAATGTTTTCTTGAATGAATGTTTCTTGCACAATGAAATGATTAATAAAATACATGCCTGAAAATTCATCTATGTCAAGTGAAATTAGTGCATCAATGTTTCATGAGAATGGGTATAAACACCCTGCCCCCACGATGCACGAAGCATGTCCTTCAAGTGTAACTGAGCGACGGACTGATGAAGGACCCCCCGACCCCCCCATACCTGTTCATCACCAGCACATTGAAGACTTCAGTCAATAACACTGTAATTCCAGGTATTAATTCAGACGAAATGCTAAGGGTGAAATTATCACCGCCGTGAAAGGAGACCAGCATTCTGGCCCCAATATTCCGTTACTGACATCCCATTTAGGGAGCATAATTGCGGTAATTAGTTCCACATTATCCTTTATTTAATTGAGATTTTATGTCTAACAGTCATGCATCAATTAACAGTATAATATTAATAGGATCTATCAGTATTACGTAAAGCTAATTTGTTAATTTACTTATTAACAGGTAATCATTTTGTATACAAAAATAGTGAATCATCCATTACATGTGACTCAGTAGAAAATATTAACAATAATATTTCAATGTATGTTAACACATTTATTGGTCCTTTACTTATTTTAGATTCGGCATCATTATTCTTTGTCCGCTATCTGAGAGGCATTAGCATTAGCTGCTATAATAACGAGATGCATTTGCACCGCAGTGGTAATGGGCCGTGCTTCTCTCCTATGAAACTAACGAATGAGAGGCCAGAACTTTAACCATGGCCGGGTTACGCTGCACGGGTGCAAGGACAGGCATTCAGGGAAAGGAGAGCTACTGTACCTCTGCAGCTATTTAATTCACCACAGACTGCATCTTATTTAGGCCAAGTTATGATGAAGTTAGCTTAAGATACAACCCAGAAGACAAGGGGTAATCTAATACTTGGACAATATAACGTATTAATATGAATTCCTTAAAAAAGAAATTGAAAGGTATGTTTTTATTATTGAAATGATATCCTCTTGCTGTTCCGTACATGAGTCTTGGAGTTAGACAACCAAGCAGTATTATTATTATTATTATTATTATTATTATTATTATTGTTGTTGTTGTTGTTGTAGTTGTGAAATGAGGGGATGTACCACCCAAGCTATATGGAGAATATTATATGTACAATCTGTGAAGTTTGTTAAATGAATTCTTTTCTTTTCCCTTTCTTTCCAGATTACATCTGTCATAAGCCATTATAGGATATCAGGCTGCTTTCATGAATACATATTGCACTCCCTCAGCCATAACTCATTACGAGTCACTTCCCCGGTACCAATAAGTCCCTTTTGCCCTTTCGGCGCAGCTCAATATCACGCCACGGCGCTATTTAGCGATAAAATCGGACATAATAAAATATTAATTAGCATGGTGGGGCTGGCGCGCAGGATGGAGTTAATCACGGTCCTGCGCCGGAATGAAAGGGCATGGCAGAAAGTGTGCTGATGCGAGAGGGCCCCCGCCATGCAGACAGGGAGAGGGGTGCGGGGCATTTCCGCTAGATTTAGCGCCTATTTAAAGGCCGCCCATAACTTTAAGGACCCGTCAGCAAGCCGACTTACGGCCTCCCCTTTCGCTGGGGGTCACGGGGGCCCCGAGGCGGCCTGGCTCTCAGGCCTGCTACGCACGTCAGACAAGACAGATGGAAGAGGCAAAGGTGAAAAGGGAATAAAACCCTATAAATGCCAACGTTTTGGACAGTTTCACTCCAAGCCTAAAAAAAAGAACGGGAAGGAAGTCTTTCCCGGAAGTTAGGGGTGCATGGCGGGGAATGACCCAGGACAGGACGCAGATTCACCTAGATGCATGTTTTTGGACTGTGGGAGGAGCCTGATGTACCTGTAGCTGCAGGAAACCCGCAGATTACCGCACATCATGGAGAAAGGCATGCAAACTCTACACACAGAGCAGAATCATCCCCGGAGATCTGAGGCGACAGAACTCATGAATGCATACATTAGCACATATGTACCCCGGTCCAGGGGAGGTGGTTGGATAATGGTTGGATGAATGGATGGATTAAAGTACATACAGGTCTTTTTTCCACAGTCTTTTTTGCAGTTATAGGCTAAAGTTCCGAGACTGAATAAAGAAAAGAAAATCTCGTGGCAGTAATTAAACCATATTTAGCCGCAGGATTTACTTCAGAACTATTTCTTTCCCTTCAATAAATAATACAAGCCAACCTCTGATGACTTCTGTTCAGGTGCCAGTAAAGACCGCAGAACCAATAAATCATCAAAACCTGATTTAATTAAACAAACTCCTTTTTCCGAGCGCCTAAAGACAGGGGCTGATGTCCTGGAGAATAGAAGGGCTGCGATAAAGCTGGCAGGAATGGAATCACTCTTTAATTAAATCTACTCTAAAAAGAAACAAAAAAGCATAAAAATACCTATAAATTATTCAATTTCCTGTCTTAGAGCTTAATATTAAACAGTCCTTTCTCCTTACATTTACATTATTTAATAAAAAATTAGCATTATAAAAACAATTCTTATTTTCCCTTCTGGCATTAAAGGAAGACCCAGCAGACGAATAAGGCATTTTTGAGAATAACCTGATCTCCCTTTTTAATGAGTGAAACATGAAAGTAACACTAACTTTCAACATGTCGTCAAATAAAATCGCTACACGTGAGAACAACACATCTGTACACTTAAAAGTTGATGCCAACTTTTTTTTTTCCATATAAAATGGGTTGAAAAGCAAGAAGAATAACACCAGTGAGATTGCTAAGACATCCCCCAGAAGGTTTTCCAGTTTCAGTAGGAACTGTTATCTCTTTCCATTTACAGTGGTACCTCAGAACTCGAACTTAATCAGTTTAGAACTCGGGTTCGAATCCTAAAAAGTTCAAGTTCTGATCGAATTTTCTCCATAAGAAATAATGGAAAACCAATCAATTGGTTCCCGGCCTCAAAAAATTACATTTAAATATGTTTTTTTTAGCATTTCAACACAAAATGAACAGGATAAAACAAGAAGAGCATATATTGTACTAAACACATCTAAGGACATTCATCAAAACAGTAATTTGTAAAGGAGGAAAATAAATGTATCCAAACAATGTGTAAAGTTAAAAAAAATCAACAGTCTTAATTTTTCGTGAACACAACGCCAACACTGTACGGCCAACAACACTAGACTATGCCATGTGGTCTATTGTTTATTGTTATTATTACTCAGTATTTGTTAATTTGTTTGTAAACTGCAAACTTTTAGGTTCTAACATTTGTACAACTATTGGGTAAATTTTTGGTGAGCAATGGCTACCAAAATGGTATAAAGTACAGTGTATCACCTGATATTTTCAAAAAAAAAAAGCACTATCACCAACAAACGTTGCTATCACAGTAAATGTGAGGCTGAGACTGAAGTGTTACCCTTTGTTTCCGCTGAGAGACGTGCCGCGTGACTCATTTCCCCGCGTGTACAATTTATCTTAGGTCGGCGTTCACGGTTCTACTTCTGAGATTCAGATCAAGTTCTAGGTCATTTTTTTTTAACTGGTTGGTTCGACTTTTAAGAAATTTGAGTTCTAATGAGTTTGAGTACTGAGGTACCACTGTACTGAACTGGTGCAGTGAATATCCAGTTATATAAACAGGTAAACAGTAAGATGCAAATACAAAATAAATTAAAAAGACTGTCTTCCCTTCCCTGTACACTATAACATCTTGTCTAATGACACCAAATCCATCCTCTACTGTCCTAAACAGTCATTTCACCACCCAACCAATATGGCATGAGAGCCCTAAATGGACAATGATGTTTATCTTTGCAGCTGTCTTCTTTATAAGCATAACAAGACCACCATCTCAAGTTTACATGTTGTCATGATATAAAGGTTATGGAAAAATATAGACAATATTTCATTATAATTATTACCCTCTGAACAAACTTGAGTCTGATCAGTGTTTGAGGAAATCAAACACAAACACAAGTCTATGAGGTCCAATGTTTGGGGAAATAAAGCACAAATAGGTCTATGAAATCCAAACCACGCTTCTTGTTCCATTTTCGTCTCTTCCAGCAGGTGAGTAAACACTGACAGAAGGTGCTGTGTACACCAGCAGCCCCAGTGTCAGGTGGAAGACCAGCGGAAAATAGCGGATTAGGCTTGCATTTCATTTCACACGTGCTGCTTCCTAGACAGACGGCTGTGCAAGCTCTCACATTATTCACGGAAGAATTCATTATTTTACTCCCCACAAAGTCCACCTTCAGTGAGACCCCAACTTTTTATGAACTGCTGAATCTTTTCTACCCTCCATCCATCCATCCATCCATCCACCCAATCTCAGTCACTCAAGGGTACAAGGGAGAGGAACTTCCTGAATAGGATTCCAAGTAGTCCTCCTGCTGCTTTACAAATTGATTTAAAACTGTAGAATTTTGTCTATAGTGTTGCCAGAAGTTGCCATCAACTTAATGTCCCGTAGCTCAACAAGTAGAGGATCACACTAACAATGCAAAGGTTGTGGGTTCAAAGCCCAGGATGCTCCCAAAAAGTCTCAGTGGGCTAAGCCTCTCTGCCTGAGATCAGAAGGTCACTGGGTCCAGCCTGGCCACAGTATATACTGTGGGTCCTTGAGCAAGGCCCTTAACCCCTTCCTCCCTGGGTGCCACTGTGGGTGGTCACCCTTCACGGCCAGCTTGCTCACAGAGAGCAAGTTGGAGACTTTTTGAAATACCTACAGAGAGCAAGTTTGGGGAGGTGTAAAGAGAATTTCCCCATGGGGATCAATAAAGCATCTATTACTGTTATTGCAAATTGTAACCCTTCGCTTCACTATAAGTTGTTTTGGATAAATGATAAACTATGGACATGGTCATGCTGCTCCTATGTAACCAATCAAGAGTCATCGCAGACAGACATCAGCACAGAGGTCAAATGACAGCAGCCAGTTACCAATGTTAATATGGATGGAATGGAGACCAGCCAAGAAGGTCCACAGAAGGCTAACTTCAAAATCTTCCCATGTTCATCTTCTCATCGGAAAGGTGTGGGGCCATCAATTGTGGGGAGCCCCCATCCCCAGGGAGCCTGGTTTTCGCTCTTCGGCCTTATATTTATGAACCACAACCCCCCAAAATGGGAGAGAAGCAGGAAGTCACCCGCAGCTGGCCTAATCTCCAGGCGCTGCCATGACCTCCGTGCAGTCATGGGTGAAGCCTGAGTGCATGCCGATGACCAGCGACTGTTTCAGGTGGATTGTGATGTCACCTTGTATGGAAGGTCGGGGGAGCGGGGGGAGGGGTCCTCAATTCAGTCTGGTGGCATTTTCATTTAATTTCCTACATTCAGATGAGAACCTGTGGGCCAGGTATTAGGGCCAACCCGAGGTCCCCAATTACCATAATTGCATTTCCAGCATTCTCATTTATCGTCTCCCATGACTGTTGCAATTCCACTCATCTTCAGCGGGGGACAACATCAAAAAGGATTTGCCTCTGTGTGTTTGTAGTTTCAGGGGCGTTCTGGAAAACCCAGATAAACCCCCCCCCCCCCCCTTTTTTTAATTAACCCCCATTTTGAGTGCAAAGATCTTGACGAAGCTCCTTGTTTCATCCCATTTCCAAGTGACGAAAATTCACATGCGAAGGAAAAGCTTCAGCACAGGATTCGGTCCCGAAATTAAAGGTGAATAATTTGAAATAATTGTTTTGTTTGTGTTTTTTTTCCACACAGACCTCAGCTGACACCGACTCCCAGCACATTCTGATAATGGGTCCGTGGTTGACTCCAGGCGGATGGTCATAAGCTGAAGCCGTCGCCACAGACATGTTGCCATGTGGCTCCTGCGACCCCAGACTTTGTCCTCCTACTTATAGGCAAGAGCGCAGCAGGGGCATTGATACCATAGCAACTTCAGAGGGCCCAGCACTCTACAGGGGCCCTTGAATATGCAAAATTATACAATATAATTTCAAATTTCTAGCTACGGCCCCAGCCAGAGGGCATCCAGAGGTGGGCATGAAGCCACCATCCATCGCCAGCTTGAAGCCAAATGCAGAAAGCAAAGTCTGGTAGATGAAGAGGAAGTTATTTGCCAGTGGACATCTTTGCCAGAAGCAGGAGGGGGGTGTATGGCTGCTTCTCTGGAGCAGACTTGACTCTCTTCACAGGTGATAACGCAGAAAGAGAAACTCACTCGATTCACCGGCCGGGAAGAGGGTACGGTACATTGAGTGTCTCGGACATTCTTAGCCCAGAGCTGCTTGCAAACAGTCGTCCCAACATAGAGCGCAAAGAGAGGACAAGCTTTGGGTGGGGGAAGGGGGGGGTTCAAACATTAGTGCGATGCAGCGTGGCTGACAGACGGAACGGTAATCCTGTTAAAGCTACAATGTCCCTCCTGCCCATCGAAGCGTGTGTTTGTCCTGCCAGACAAGACACGCGCTCTGTTACGCAATTTCCCAGAGCAGCTCAGTGCAAACACGAAAAGCTGCGTTTCGTGTCGAGGATACTTGGCAGCCTAGGAAACGTTTTCCTACGATTCTGAGCCTTTTTGTTCCTACATTTCCTAAATTAGAGGCAGATGAAATTTCCACGCGCCGATCCAATCATTTTAATGTCTCCAGTCCCGCTGATGTATCGCAGAAAAACATCTGTTATTTCACATTCGGAATCTAGAGGCCGCATTCCCCCACAAATCCATTGCGACACGTGTCGCATGTTTCATTTTTTAATCGGACCGCACGCATTGTTCTTAGTCCAATATCATGTTCACTGCCAGCCAACAGATCGACAGCATTCAGTGTGGCGCCAAAGAGGTCCCCAGATTTGAAATTACGCAGCAGTGGAGGTGAGTACTTTAGCCTACATGGGGAATCGGCACGGGTGCGGAAAACTCACCATGGAATTTAGTGAGAGCCCCGAAAAATTCCGGAATGCTTCAAGTGGCTTGTCAGTCGGCACCGCGGTTACGGGAAACAAGTCACACAGGAGGCAGAATGGGTGCATACCGAACGGGTTTCTGAAACCCTTCTTTTTTAAAATACTGAGGCACTCCGTGCTGCCTTTGCTTAACTGTCATGCTGTCATTTGTAGCTTGAGGGGAAAGACGAGGGGCTTCAAAAAGCTTCCCGTCAGATTGTTCCTCTCCATTTCTGTTCCCCAGCTCCCCCTGCCATCTCTTTATTCTCACCTTCCCAGGTGCAGCATCTCCGCCTCGCTTACCCCGCTTATGAACGAGAAGCGTAATTTTAGTCTCCTAAACCTGCACGACTGCCAACATTCAGGTCTCCTGCTTTCTGCACGCTCGGGTCGAGTTCAGGTGGAAGACAGCAAATTATTTTCATTACGAGTCACGGTTTGGTACCTGAAGTAATTTATTTTGCATATTTATACCGTGTTTTATAATCTAATACACCTAAATAATTCCCTTTTCTGGAACCCGTTAAAACAAAATGAATAAATATTCATGATTTATTTAAAGGGCTGGTTTAATGATATTCTAATTTGGCGGGTACAGCTTTAAATTAAAAGGTGATAATTCCATTATACAGCTGATTTTTAAATGGGGTGAACCAGGCTGAACCGGAGCTAATACAACAAAAACTAGATCCCTCGTCTAATCTGCAATGCAACGAACATGCCTCCCAACTGTAAACAAAAGGCGGACTTATACGGTAATTAAAGGTTGGCTGATTCGTACCTGTTCAGTTAATTTATTTAAGGCTTCAATTATCCTGCTATATTAAAAAAAAATCACAGCATGTATATTACAACTAGTGAACTATAATCGCTGAAGGTTAGAGAAGATCTGACACGTGAAAGAAATGAATCACAGGAAAACATTCAGAATTCTGTAACGGAAAGGATAATCTGACACATTAATTATAGTGACGCTGGATTGTCAAGAAACAAAACCCTAACCACATGATGTGAATCATATAATAAAACTTTAGGAACTTTGAATATCTTCATGCCAGCAGTTGTTTGAAGCCTGTGCAGCATAACCATCCAAGTCAGATTGCAAGAGAGGACTTTGCTTTAGATGGTTGGTATGTGCTTGTTTAGAGCTGTGCATATCTGTGGAGCTGATGTGTAAGCTAACAATTACTAGGGTCATGTCAACTCAAGGAAAGGGAAGACATCTTCACTGAAGGGTAGCAGTGAGCAGACACTCGAGGTCCAGTGACATCAACGCAGTAGCCCAGCCTAAGGTCACCTGCATCTCTATGGTGTTGCTTCCCAGCTACGGAAAGGAAAACCTTTGTGTCCAAGGTGTGCATGTTTTCACTGAGCAGAATATCGAACTTTCCCACCCATGGGCTAAAAAATACACCCAGAGCCCATTCCCACAGACTGTGGGTTTCTGCAGTCCTGTGCCATCCAAACAGAAGAGCACACAATAGAAGGGAACCCCAATGAACTCCTTTAGAATGGTTTGGCCAGAAATACATACTGTAATCGCAGTGGATTACCTGCATGCGGCAGGCAGAACTTCCTAGCTAGCGTCATTATCCAGAGTAAAAATTCACAGCTATCTATTTATACATATGGATTATCCCTGTAAACAATTCAGAAATTAAGTGTCTTTCAGACCGATTGACCACAGATCAGGTGGAGTGGCCTGCTCACTGTGTACTTCTATGTGTCTGCGGTATTGTTGTTGCGATTATATTTCATTGACTGTTTATTACCCTTCACACCTTGCAAAAAGTTCAGAAGTCCCCCTGAACTGCATGCATGTCTACAATGCCCACTGCTTTGCATGTAGAACTCATGAATATTAATCATTGGCTGTTGTTTTATTGGCTAATTCTGTGTGTCTGTAATCTGTGTACTAAGTGGTGGTAGCTATTAGCGACAGTGCTTTATCAGGGATGGCTAGATTTCCACTAAATCATTAATAGGCTTAATCAGTACTTACTGTTTGCCAGTCCCCTTAGAGCAAAAGGAGCTTTATAAATGATTAAACAACCAATAGCCCTATGATTGTTTAACTGTCACTTCAATGCAGTGCTTTCATGACACTGGAACAAAGGGAACAACAGAGTGGTGGCATCTCAGAAAGGAGTCTGCTGTTGTTAGCAGTCTCTCTAGTGTCTGTCCAGGACATCTGCATTGAACACTAACATGGCTTAGACTGTCTGTAGTGATAAAACTGTGTCACATGACTCCAGTGTGTGAAGGTGGGCGGCAATATTCTGAGCTGGCAAGCCTGAGATCTAAAAAATCCAGGTGGTTTTGGAAAACCAGGCCAGTGGTAACTGCTTCTGACACAAGGGGCAATGCATTTGCAGAGAAAACAGTGGTCAGGATTACATTTTGTTAGACACGTGGCCAACTCAGATTTTGGAATAATCAGTGGTGATTCTGGTTGGTGACAATGGCTGCCAGTGCGTGGACTACCTAGGAGATAAAAGGGACCGGAGATGAAGAGCTCCAGACGTGAGCTTGGGCACCTCTCGGCTATCTTCTCATCTTCAAAGGCCAAGTCTCACCTTCTCCAGGATCAAATGTGCAAACAATAAAATCAGGGGGAATAAAAACGCTCAACAGATCAAAACCGGGTGCTGCTTCCCTCCGATATTCCATCGTAATTATAACTAATGTGGAAGCAGGTTTATCGGGGTTCTGGCTGGAAACAGGTGGAAAGAGAGAGGTACTGTAGTAGAGGGTATAGGTACAGCAACAGGCGCCCAGACCCCTACCTGACAGGCGCCCCGCGGCTCTGTGCCGGCTTCAGCATCACTGTCACCGTGCTGTCAGTCTGGTTGAGAGGTGTCTCGTGGTCATACCCGGGCATGTGGGGCGCTGTGGAGGGCACATAGACCACAAGCAGATTCACCAAGGTCAAACACTGATGGCCTAGCAGGTAGACTTTGCTAATGGCAAATGAGCTATTACTGCTAATGGCTAAAAGGCTATACTCATAAGCTAAAAACCAATCAAACCTTGTTGCCTACAGGCTGTAAATACACAGATTTACCCTTTACCCTCATCGAAGGGATCACATTCTCCTAAGTTTCATCATTTCTTGTGATTTGAGTACTATTGCAGTCAGGGGCGCCGCCAGGGGGGGAAAGGTTAGAACAATTCTAGGGGCCCAGCACTGACATGGGGCCCTGTTAGGGGCTTTACATTTTCGCAAAAAGGGGGGGGGGGGGCAAAATTGTAATCTTTCATGGGGCCCAAGATTTCTGGCGGCGCCCCTGATTGCAGTCTTCATATATCCTCCTATATGCGGGCAGCCCAGTACATGCATGAACATTTCTGCCAAGAACCGTCTCCTGCTCCTCACCTGAGATCTTGGTGGTGAACTGTGTGATGGCAGGCGGGCCGAAACCTTTGACGGTGCTCGCCCTGATAGTGAAGGTGTATGTAGAGCCAGGGTAGAGCCCCACGAACAGGTGCGAGGTCTCGTTGCTGTGCTTGAAAACCTTCCCGCTCTGGTTTGACAGGTCAAACTCAGGGTCGAAAGAGCTAACGGCCTTGTATGAAATCTGCCAAAGGGGAGCGATTGTCAAAGTTCACATAAATCTATAATATGTTATTTAAAATATGCTGAAGATAGAGCTTATGTATATCCTTTAGTTTTTACATCCAGCAAAAAGTCACTGGTAGTCCCATAGTAGATATGAGCTCTTTTAAAAGGTAATTTATTTCCAGCCGAGTACATTCCCAGTAGCTAAGGTGTAGCTGTATTAGCTAAAACTACACACCTTTAAATAAAATAATAATAATAGTAATAATAATAGCAGTAGGATAGCAAGGTGCGATGGACCGATATCCCATCTATTTCACGGACTGCCTCATGCCCTATGCTGCCTGGGATAAACTCCAGGCCCCCTCCTCCTTGACCCCGACCAGCATAAGCGGTCAGAAAACAGGGAGATAATAACAGTGATAAAATATCACTTTAAGTGCCTGTCGAGATAAAGGCTAAAAGGCTCCAAGGCCATGCTTTCCTCGGTTGGCCAGGGGCTCCTCCTCTAGCTGCTTTGTTTCACACCTTCCCCACGTCGCTCGAGTGCAAGATCGCAGGTGTGGAATCGTGAAAGCAGAAGGCACACCTGTATCTGCTCTCGAGGAAGATTCATTTAAATACACCAAGTGTCACACTATGGAAAGGATTCCTCATTACTTTGCCCATAGTCTAATTAATGTGCCTCTGCAAACCCCAATGCCCAACAGGTGTGAAAGGCCTTCCCCATCTCTGAGATTTACAAAATGTCATAGGGCCATCTTTCAAGGGCGGGACCTGGGATGTTCGTGACTGGTCTGGTGATTTGTCATCATGAAGGCTGGGAAGATGCAGTGAATCTGGCAGATGGCCGCAGATGCTGGAAGGAAGGGATGTTTCGGGGCAGGGGTGGGTCTCAGCTCACCCATAACGAGGTAATTGAATAAAGCTGAGCACTCATGTAGACTGAGAGCAATGGGTCAATTCTCTTGGGTTTCCAATTTGCTCATTTTTAAGTTAGTGAGCAAAACAGTCATTCTGTACATATTGTTTGATTTCCCTACCCTTTAGATCCGAAGGGTGCAATAAGATTTCTCTGTTTAATCTTCCAGTGCCTGTGTCCTGCATATCTGTTTGCCACCCTGCAGTTCTTTTCCATTATAGCTAATATTAGTTCTGTCTAATTGTCACATGATCAAGTCACATGATCTACAATATCAACTCATTGCAGTAGCTTGAAATTTGTCAGATGTTCCTGTACGTGAACCATCCTTTCACCTAAATTTCATCAGGTGCCAAAAAGGGGGCTAAATAACAGCAGCAGTCGGGCGTCATCCGACGTCGCCGGAAAAAGACAAGCTGCCAAACTGTTCAAACGGTTTATACAGAAGCACACAAATGAGTAAAGATCGAGAAATTTTCAGCAAGAGGCGTGTCGCGGGGAAGCGTGTCATGGGGCCGACACGAACACGCTAGGAAGACAATAGCTGGAGTCGCTCTGCGGCAGCCTAACGAGGCAGAAAATCTTTGATTTGTCCATTCTCTGAGAGACAGCTCAATGGGACTTCAAAGGGGCTACACGATGACAGAATGTAATTTCACAATACGACTCCGTGACAGCTTAATTGGTGAAGTTTTTAATGAATTACTGTCTGTACGGAACTCTGGATCCGCTGCAGCTGACCCTCATTGTCAGAACGTCGAATAGCATCAAATCCTCTGATAAACCAGCGATTTGTTACCGAGTCAAATTGTTATATTTCACTGAAAAGGTACCTACTCTATAGATATTAGCCAACCAAATTAAAGGCAGACTTTGATGCTACTCGGTCTAATGGAACACATAACGTTCATGTCCAGCTTTGAGTTCTTTGGGAACCTTATCTGGGTCATATAAAAGTAATATGTAAAGTAAAATCCATAATCGCTCCTTAAACAAATAATGTGACAAATCACAGTGTCATACATACAGTATGTGCTTCATCTTGGCTTATATTCACTTTTTGATTGTTAATTCTGGGCCCTGCTTAGAAAATTTGCTCTGTGTCGCAGAACAAAAACCCATTCGTTTCTGTGGGGGGGAAAAAAAACGGTTCAGTTTGTCCCACCAAGGCACCTGTAACTGCCATATTATTCTTTGACTATATTTACATATTAGCTATACTAGGATCCATGCAAACACATTCTGTAACTGTGCACTTCTGTAAAGTTCTTATCTTTGCCAAGGTCTATGGCCACCGACTACTCGAAATCACCTCCCGTTTATGTGGTTCACTGGTAATCTATAAAACTTGTGTAAGGCGAGGTCACCTTCATTTCACGAGCCCCTGCTACTGTCAGAATATCTGTATTCCTTTTATCTGATATCATACCCGTGGCAATGCTACTTATGTGCAACATTTATGAAACGGGCAGCGGGGACAAAGCAGAAAAACAAAATGAAAATGAAATGAATTATGAACTATGAATATGAGGCTTCGAAGTCACTTAGTGACGGTCATTTAGTGAGTGGTACAGTGCCACCACTTACCTCATACAGTGTAATTATGCCATATGTCTGGGCCGGCTCCCTCCATTTAAGGGTGATCTTTTCCTCATAGGTGCTTCCCTGAATGGACTCCACTGGAACAGCACCTGGCACTGGAGGGAGAAAGTATTACACCTTTTTAAGCCCAAAAATGGAAAAAGAGCACGGGATCTTATTGCTTTTTAATTCAGCTGCTTTTTAAACTTGCGCAGCTGATAGTATTGGCCTTAATCCATCTCCGTTTCATCTGTGCAGTATGGAGGCGTGGATGCTCTTCTGCTTAGGAAACTAAAACCTTGATTCAAGGGTACAACAGCAAATCCCAGGGAGACTTAAAAAAAAAGCCGTCCTCCCATCACAAAGACTATTTCTCTTCCCAAGAGCACCTGCCACTGCGTGCTGGCTCTAAAAGCAACGGGAGCACAATGCCGCAAACTTGAATGCCACAGTTGAAAGCCAAGTAAATTAAGAGAGAAACACTTCCTCCAAGGCCAGAATGGAGAATTTGTACAATATGTTTTCTTATCTGAAGACTCAGAAGCATTTAAAATGCTGCACTTTTCTTCCCCAAGTCAATGTTTACATCATCTTGGTTTCTGAAAAACAAATTGCCGTACACGGTGGATGTGAGTCGCTTTCATTCTGCTGTTTTAATGCGGAAAAACCTGAACATGGGTCGGACAAAGAGAATATTTGAACCAATGCGGCTCCCCACTCTTCCTCCTCCCGGGATCTTAAATCACACATTCCGCATCTTGGCTTCTTTCAGTGTTCCCCATCAAAATCCCCTCCGTCTGTCTGCTCCGAGATCTCTAGGGTACCGCTGTGAACACCTCACCTAGAACTACCAGGGAGTAATGTAAGGAGTGCAGCCAATAAGCTTAGGAGAACTTCAGAGGCTAATATAGGCCCTTGTCTCCTTAACGATGACAATGAAGAGGTCTGGCTTCAGGTTATTGATGAAATGATGAAGTGTGCAGTTCAGTGGGTTAGGCCTCTGTGATCAGTCGCAGCCTTGGCAGAATAGTCACACTGACGATGGGCCCTTGAGCAAAGCCCTCCCCCCTCCATACCCCCCTCCCCAAAAACAATTCTCCAGGGGCACCAGATAATATATACTTAACACTACGTCCTTAACACTTAACACTAGAGGGTGCATTAGGGTGTTTTTTCAAGGCTCTGGTAATTCGTGAACCATGCCACGTGACATGATGCCCGTGCAAGCGCTCACCATCTTCATCGGTCAGCACATCCACCTCCTGGCTCTCTTGGACGCCCTCAGGGTTGCGCAGCACCAGTCGCACACTGACATTGGTGTAGGGAGGAAGGTTCCGGATGACATGCTGTGGCGCTATGCCGGCTGTGTCGTGGCACACCTCCTCACGTGTCTCTTCCTTGCCGCCGGCCCGGTAGCGGTACTGCACAGTCAGGTTATAGCTGTGGCAACGTGTGACGTTGTAACCGAAGGGCTCCCAGCGCACGGTGATCTGCCTGGAGTTGATGTCCACCACCTCCAGGTTCCTGGGCCCATGCATGGGGTCTGGAAAGAGATGAAAGAGAGGTTCATCAGCGTGTATAAGCATTCCTGAGCATTCATGTGTTCATGAGACTTCATAAACATCCGCAAACATTCATAAGCATTCATGAGGATTCATAAACATCCGCAAACATTCATAAGCATTCATGAGGATTCATAAACATCCGCAAACATTCATAAGCATTCATGAGGATTCATAAACATCCGCAAACATTCATAAGCATTCATGAGGATTCATAAACATTCATAAGCATTCAAGAGAATTCATAAAAACCTACGCAAGCATTCATAAAGCATTCATGAGAAATCATTAATATTCATAAGAATTCGAGAGAATTCATAAAAACGTATGCAAACATTCATAAGCATTCATTAGAATTCATAAACATCATGAGCATTCTGGAGCATAAGATTGTCTTTGGCTTGGAGTTGGCTGAAGAGAATCAGTCATTCAAGGTTTTATTTGTCACAAACACAATTATTCTGCCCTACACAGGTAAAACACAGTAACTTTACTGACACTGAAACAAAGATATTTTATCACAACGTAAGAGCCCAATTTCAGTCATAACTTTTTGGTAAAATATGCAGTAAACTGTGCAGTAAAATGCTCTGTTATCTAACTCCATGAAAGGGGACATATATATAGAGACACAACAAGTATAAAGAGACACAACATTAAACAATAATCATAAATAGCCACAAATAGCATTCACTTGGTTACAATGTGACAGGTGTGGTGCAATGAGTCTAATGATAAGACAGTATTTACATTTTGTTGCTGTCGGATGAAAAGAGCCTATGTTCACTCTCGGTTACTATAGATGGAATAAGCCCATTCCAGTCTACTGATAGTGTTTAACATTTAACTGTCCAATGAAAAGATGTTTTATGAAGTAATCTAACCTCTTTGTTTTTCTCTTTAGAGTACTGGCACCTCTATGGTGGTACTGAATAACAAGGCGAGTACCAGCACCTCTTTGTTTTTCTCTGTAGAGCACTGGTACCTCTATGCTGGTACTGAATAACAAGGAGAGTACCAGCACCTCTTTGTTTTTCTCTTTAGAGTACTGGCACCTCTATGGTGGTACTGAATAACAAAGTGAGTACCAGCACCTTTTGTTTTTCTCTTTAGAGTACTGGCACCTCTATGCTGGTACTGAATAACAAAGTGAGTACCAGCACCTCTTTGTTTTTCTCTGTAGAGCACTGGTACCTGTATGCTGGTACTGAATAAGTGCAGGTGAATGCCAGCACCTGTTTTTCCCAACTTGAAGCAGTGCTTTATATCACTAATTTTGACACCTTAAAATTGATAGCTAGATAGCTTGCTAACTAACAGCATTGTTAATTGTGAATACAAAGTGAGATTAGTTTGTATCTTGTTGACACTGACATATTTGCCTCACTGACAACAACGTACCATAATCCATTTAAAATATTAAACCGCTCAGCAACAGCTGTGTAAAGATAGATTTGTATTTGTGGTGCTAAGGGTGTCTCATTATGTTGTTTTAAAGTTATTTTGTGTAGTGGTTTCTGAGAAAATGATTTTTTTTTCATGCTCCTGAAATAATAGATTTTTGGAGATACGTGTTTTCCATCGTAGAGCAATGATATGTGAGCGGCATGGAGGGAGCACATATGGAGCTGGAGATGTACATGTTGACTAGGGTGTTGTAGAACATTGAAGCAAATGAAAGCCCATCAGGCATCTTCATAACCCTGAACCACGCGAGTTAAATCCACAAGACTGTGATAATTCAGTCCTCATCTCATCCCGCTCTCACTGGGCAAGTCAGCAGGAAGGTTTCTGAGCTGGTTGGCTCACCAGCACTCCATGGAAAAACCCAGAAAATGAGGGACAGGTGTGAATAATTATGGGTATGAATGAGATGTGAGTGTTTTTCTCATCCAGCACAAAGCACCCCACCCCCAACGCAGAGCAGAACTGAAGATGCTGAACAGCTATGAATCTTGTATTACAAAAGTGTTAGACTTTTCAACCACTAACAGTCACATGCTACTCAGCGGCCATATTCCACAGGAAATATATCTGACCCTGTTGCCAGGAGCAACTCTGGGATTATTTTAAGATGGGGTGCATTAGAGGAGACAGTTTATATAGAGGGGTCAGCCTTTTCATTAACCAATGTTATGTTTTGAATCGGTGAGTGACAGGGTGCGTGGCACTCTGGGGGCCAATCAGCTTTCAGCTGGGGCCAGTGCCTACTTGTCGCGTAGATAGCCAAGGTGGTCTGCCATGTTTCAAACATCCACTACCATTTCTCTTTCACTCTAAGCTAATTCCGCATCCAATGGCCTTATTTACTGTCACTCATCATTACCACATAAACACTTCAAAACTCTGCAAAAAAAAGTGTCAGGATATCAAACACCCTGAACTGTCAGCTGGATAAAATTAAACAATATTTTATGGATTCCGTCTCTCTTTTTTTTAAAAAACCTCACCGTGAAATCCAAACCATGAAAACAATGTTTTGCCATTGAGTGATTTGCATATTATTTGGAATAATATGTGAGTAAGATTCTTCCCCATCACTTTCCATGGAAAGTGGTATACGTGTTAACCTCACTGGATAAATAAACCGCGATACATTTTGACGTTTACTCACCTCCCCTGTCTCGGCTGCATGTATAATTACACACAAGTATTGTGTTTACATTTTGTCAAGGACAATCAAGGTCCAGTCATCATGTATATTTCTTTGGTAAACAATTCATGTTTATTAGGAGAGAAGGATATTGCATTATACTCAGCCTGTAGTTGCTTTGCAGTAGGCATAACTTAACCAGTAAAATGACTTTAAAAACTCAATTAAATGATACTTTTGAAAAGCATCTTTTTGCATATGTTTGGCTTAAGGCAATAATGGGAAACTGTTATTGAAGAATTAATGCATGCTTATTTGTAAGTATATATAACAGCTATTCAGGGAGTGCAATCTAGAGAGTGTCACGAGGGTTACAGTGTTACACTCTGATATCTGGTGGAAAAAAAACATTCATGAAACGATACCCCTGGCTTGTTCCTCGCCTCCGTTGACAAACGTGGACAAAACATAAAGCAGATGTGTGAGGCGAGAGCAAACAATGGCCTTTCTGTTACCTGTGCCTTTCATGCCACAATGCATCTCCAATTCGGCTGTGGGGGGACTGGTGTCTGAAACCTACAGGATTTACTCCAGATGCATCTGGCTCTTTTGCCCCCCCCCCCCCGGTGGATAAACAACAGACACCTGCCTCTGCTCCTTTACCCCCCACCCCCCGATCAACACAATGGACCTTAAACATGAGCTAAAACCAAAAATTAAACCTTGATGGATGGATGGATGGATGGATGAGGATTACTCTGAGTAGTTAGCTTGTGTTTGTCTTCAGCCAAACTGCACTGAAGAACAGGCACCTGTCTGTTGCTGCAGGCCGCAGGAAACTCCCTCTGGACATCATGAGCAGGGAGAACATGCAGGAGACCTGGAGAAGGTGCACGTCCCCATCTCTCCCAGAGCAGAACAGCCACAGAGTCACTTCCTCCTCAGGAACAGCCTCCCTAGTTCAACCCACAGCTGTCACTGTTATTCTTGTTTATCAATCACTTGTTGATATTGCCGCATTTTCAGTCCCAGTCCTCAGGGCACAGGACTGGGTCGTGTTACTTTGAAAACCCTGTCGGCCCAGCTACCCAACCATGAGATGCTGCCCTGTCATCATGTCCACCAGACCCAGAACCAGCCCAATTCCACTGATCAGCTATGGGCCCTGGTCCATCTGTGACAGCAGGGACACCTTGGCCCAGGAATAATCAGGGACGGTACCGCAGCAGAATTCTCGCAACCTCCAGTTAGGAAACAAAGGAAATCACAGCCCAGCTGGAAAATCTATCACCAGTCATGTGTCGCTTAACCGGACTCCCAAACTGACGAGATCAGCAATTCAGAAAACCAGAGGACGCATCTCATCATTGCCAACATACATGTGCAGGAACTCCTTCGTGTTCGAGATGGTCTCTCACTATCCCGGAGGATTTCTTTATCTCTGAGAGGAAAGAGAGAATACTACCATTTCTAACATCTCTCTAACAGCCCTGGAAAATGCTCAGTTACAGCTGAGAGGCACAGAAATGCCACATTTAATCTCCCCTGAGCTGTAACGGAGATGATTAAATGGCGAGACGGTGGCAAAGGGTTTGAAAGGCCAGGAAGAGGGTTTACCTGCTGAGGGAGAGTGGCATCCCCCCGCCCCCCGCCTGAATTGGACCATATAAGAAACAATGAGGCAGCCCCATGATTCCTGCCCCCCCCACCCCACCTTCACTGCTACACAGACCTTTTCTCTACAGTTAATTTATGAGATAAAGAAAAACTAGCAAGCAAGGCTAGGAATGACAGCTGTGTATCCTCAAAGTTTCCCCTCCGACTGTGAAATGTAGGACATATTTCAAGCGTGTAGAAAATGGATGGATGGATGGATGAATGACATCCCATAACCCTGTAAACAACTCCCAGCTGTACCTCACATCCCATAACCCTGTAAACAACTCCCAGCTGTACCTCACATCCCATAACCCTGTAAACAACTCCCAGCTGTAACTCACATCCCATAACCCTGTAAACAACTCCAAGCTGTAACTCACATCCCATAATCCTGTAAACACCTCCCAGATGTACCTCCCATCCCATAATCCTGTAAACACTTCCCAGCTGTACCTCACATCCCATAACCCTGTAAACAACTCCCAGCTGTAACTCACATCCCATAATCCTGTAAACATCTCCCAGCTGTACCTCACATCCCATAATCCAGTAAACACCTCCCAGCTGTACCTCACATCCCATAACCCTGTAAACACCTCCCAGCTGTACCTCACATCCCATAACCCTGTAAACACCTCCCAGCTGTACCTCACATCCCATAATCCAGTAAACACCTCCCAGCTGAACCTCATATCCCATAATCCTGTAGACATGCCCAGCTGTACCTCACATCCCATAGTCCTGTAAACACCTCCCAGCTGAACCTCATATCCCATAATCCTGTAGACATGCCCAGCTGTACCTCACATCCCATAACCCTGTAAACACCTCCCAGCTGTACCTCACATCCCATAATACTGTAAACACCTCCCAGCTGTACCGCACATCCCATAATCCTGTAGACATGCCCAGCTGTACCGCACATCCCATAATCCTGTAGACATGCCCAGCTGTACCACACATCCCATAATCCTGTAGACATGCCCAGCTGTACCTCTGCGCATGAGTGTGTAGGAAGCCATTGTAACAGGTTCTTGCATCCCTAAGTCACATTCTACAACAATAATCTGAGATCCCTCTTAACCATCACCCCTGTGCATATACGAAGACTGTGTTAATTAACTATATTACTGGTGCTTTTTGATGTTGTCAACAAGATAAAACAGCTGACCTTTAAGGTACCCTCCACCCCCATTGATACTGACTCCATTTAGAGTGCTACCAAGATCCCCCCCCCCCCAGGAGAAACATGCCCTTCAAACGTGTGACGGGCCCATGACACCATTATATAGATGGACACCTGGATTTCATTTCAACAAATTGATTTTCCAGCCCTCCGCCCCAACTCTCCTTAATTCACAAGAAGAAAGTGAAAAGTCCTCTAACAATTTATCGATTAACCTAACCTTAAAAAAAATAATAAACACCTTGGTTGACTAGACAAATAACCGCTGATTTACACAGATAACATGAGGCCGGGTGTTGCGTGGGAAAATGAAACTCACTCCCCGCGATAAACGTGGGCTGGTATAAACCGTCCCGAGGAAGACTGCAGAGAATGAGATAAGGAGGAGAACTTCTTCATTTCATCATTGGCAACAGTCACGGTGTGTGTGTGTTGTTGGCTGGGATATCAAGATAAACGACATGTCTCCGGGTTCCCCCTCCCCAGGTTCCCCCCTCCACCCCCCCTCTTCAGTGGGAACTCCAAGATGCTCAGTATGTCTTTGTGTCTGGATTCCTGTTTACCGACCTCCCCTGCCCTCTCAGCATCGTGTTTTTTGTTCATTTTCTCGGAATCTCATTGCTTTATAATTACGGTAAAGGACCTTTAAAAGATTAAGCCCATAGATGTGGCAGTGCTCAGCTGGGTAATCGGCTCGGTGCTCGGCTAGCAGTGCCTGAAAAAGCGCAGTCAAAGCGAGAGAGTGAGAAGCAGCAGGGATCAACAGAAACACAAATGTAACTTAGTATCTCCTTTACAAAAAAGCTTTTCACAGAAAAAGAATAAAATCGTAAAGATGGGCAAAAGTATAAAGCATTAAGTGTCATCTTCACTCCCTCCTGCCCGCTGCCCGGGACAGTGTTTAGAAAACCCTCAATTTCTGGAACTATCTGTCGGTAGCACTTGGTAAACAACAGACGCACTAAAAGCACCGCGAACCGTAGGGCTGGCCAAGTGCAGAAATCAAATTATAGAGGCTGCTTCTCAAGCAGTGATGGGCCGGCGGGCAGAGATTTAGGTATGTGGTTCAGGGCAGGTCGAAGAGGTCTAAACCAATGGTTCGGCCTCAGACTTTGAGGAAACCAGAAACGCAAGAGCCAAGCAAACACAAGGAGAGCTGAACATTGGGTGGAATCAAACGCATGACCCTAGAGACATGAGACCGCAGTGCCTCCTACAGGGCAAATACTGTATCACGGGCCGGGAAGTTGAACCACTTGTTAAGTTGTTGTTGAGTTGCACTTAAATGGAGGGAAATTAAAATTCATTCTTGAGAGCTGTGGTTCCAAACTGGTTTAGCCTCAGGAATCAACTTTTCCTTGGTCACTAAGCCAGGACCAAAAATGTGAAATTCCGAACCAAACTTATTTAACAAAAAAAGTGCAGTTATAGTCACATACGTGCAAATTGCGGGGGGTGGGGGAGGTGGGGGGAGTTGTTGGCCATACAATTTTCCAACCCACCAGTTCCGAAACGGTACCTCACAGGTCCCATAGGTCGGGTCCAAGTGGTAGCAGGATATAAGGTTCAGTACATCCAGCTCATGATGTGCAGCTTTAAATTTCGGAAAATGCGACACCTTTTATATGCGGACGTTTATCAAACGAGGTAGCGGGGGTCTGTACATCAAGAGGTGATGTGCAGTACATCACGCCATCACACGGGCCGCAGAGTCCAGCAGCGATTTATGGCAGGCCTGGGGGCCACTATTGTGTTTTGTCTGATGCGTAAATCACAGGGGCACGTTGCCAGCCAGGGCCAGGCCCGGATGCCGGCGGGACTTCTCTGATAGCCAGGACCCGGCTCGGAGATAAGGATTCTAGAGGGAAGGGCGAATCCGGCATAGATGAGCGATCGCCTCGGACGGGGTACACATACTCCGGAGATGGACAGCAGATGGATGGCATTGCCGAAGAGAAGATCAGGCAGAGGTGAGTAGGGGGAGGGGCTGATGAATAGGGGGGGGGGGCTTTGGGGCACAGATTTCTTATGGACCAGTCAGATCCTTCTTACACTTTCTACCACCAGCACCATGAGGCGTTTCATGGCCCTTGGTTGTGGTAATTGAGACTCTGACCAAGGCCGTCTCGTAGCGGAAGAAAAATGATTTCCATTACAGCTTAAACACTTTGGTGTGGGGGGGTGCGGGGAGGTTGCATCAAGCTGCCAGGAGACACAGTAAATCCCACTGAACGGGCATGGAGGAAACATGTAATTGACATTTCCGATGACCTCAAAATTGTAAGCTGGACGCCTGAATGCTGCGTAACGTTTGCAGGGCTATTACTCAAAACCGCCGAGACGGTTTATTAATGCCCCTCTTTAAGATCTCGAAATGCTTCCAGGGGATGAAAGCTTGATATCAAAATAAGGGGAAAAAAATGCATCAAGCGTGGAATTTAGCTGCCTTTGAGATGACCTTCAGCTTACTGACTTTTTAAAGAGGAAAAAGGCTATCAATGCACCATCCTCGTCACTGTCCATCTGTCCAATCCCTCCCGAGTCTCTAAGACATTTCATAAGGGGGGCATCACAGGACAGCGCCATCTCTCTGCAGGCCTCATGAACTTCAACTCGGGCTGGTTGACTTGGAATTACCAGTCCCTACAAAAAAAATCCTCTGGATCATGAAAGGAAACTTGGAGTACCTGGAAGAAATACTCAGAAGCATGTACTTGTTCCACAAACACACAATACCAACATTAAGGGAGCCACTCTGGGTTTCCTATGTGTGTGCAACCATCTCTGTGCTGCCAAGGCTGACATGAGGCACTAAGAAGGAGCGGGTCCGTGTTCTGGGTAGAGGGTGAATCACAACATCCCTCATTGCGGTGACATAAAATTTTAATTGACCACTTACATCGAACTGTTGATGGGAATTTATCACTACAACTGACATTCTATTAATGCTTCTCAATTAAAAGCATTATTATCACCCTCTGTTAAATGTAATGGACTTCGGATTCCCAAATGCAGTACATTCTACCACATTTATGACATCATAATGTAGCCCTTACTCACCGTAATGAATGAATACTTTGAGAAACATAAGCAGTTTACGGGTCTGGACGTATTATTTTGTCCTGTCTATCGAGGCCCTGTCTCGGAAAGCGATAGATGGCGAGAGGCATGGTGAGATTACCTGGATCAGTCATACTGGGGGAGGGAGGATAAAGGCATTACTTCCAGATGAGAAGGAACAAATTGACCATGTCTGTGGCAGCCTGGTTCTCTCTGGGAGCGGGAGGGAAAGAGCAGACCCCCCGAGCCGGAGAGGAGGGGGTGATCCCCCTGTAAGCCTGCTCCGGCATGTTGGGACCCAACCGCCCCCCTCCCGCACACACACACGCACACACACACACACACACACACCTGCCTCGAGTCAACACAGTATCATTCCGCTCCACGTCATTCGGCTCCATCTCTCCGCACCTTCCCATCTGCCCCATGTGGCCTTGGGTACCGCCATGAGCAAAAGGCTCAGCTTTCAGCAGCCAGGAATAAAAACATCCCCAACTAACCCTCCAAGAGATCCCACCACGGTGCAATCATCATCATGACAGATCTTGACAACGCCAGTACATGTCCTGGCCTTAGTAATTTTACGAGGAAAAAGCAACTCCAATTCCAAGGACAACTCCCTCAAATCAAGCCAAACTCCCCTCAAAGGCATGTCCTCTGCCATCTACATTAGGTCTGACAAAGATATATAAGCCCCATTTAGCACAAATATTCCACAGCAACAGACATCTTCCATAAGTCAGCCAATTGCACTCATTTCTGTTTCCGCGTCTTTGAAGCCCTTTGACACTAACAGTGAGAACTAGTCAGCCCTAGAAATATGACTAACTAGACAGGACATTCCACTTGACCTCATCACCACCACAATCTAGTAATTCTATATCTATGTCACAATGAATCTGAAGATTGACAAATCTTAGTTCGCCAGAAAAGAACATGACCCATACATTTTTTTTGTTTCAGCTTCTGATTTGAGATGAGGATTTCCATTAGTACTGCACTTTAAAGAGACTCTGATATCCCCAACTTGCATTCTTCAAATGCTAATCTCAGAATGATTTTGAAATGGGATGCAAAACAGAACCACAGCGCTTCAGCCCGAACCAAATAACCGTAATATTTTAGGTTCTGTAACAGACGGAACAAAGAGCGGGGTTTTAGAGCCACTTAGACCCACGTTCCAAGCTGCACAAAGGAAAAGTGATGCGTGCGCTCAGCTGCCCATCAGCGATTCCGCTTCCTGCGCTCCGAGGAACACTTTGCCAAAGTACACACAGGGTCTGCTGCAGCCTGCACAGGCGGCTCCCATTTGCTGCCGCGAATACGAAATACACGTCATACTTTTAAACCGGCGTCTTGGGGCCACCCCCAGCCAGCACCCTCCATGCTCTTACCTCCTCGCACTCCACGCAGGCCGAGATCTCGACACCACACACCTGATTATGCTCTGCTGTAAGTGACTCTAGATCCTATATAGGGGGGCCTTGGCCACACTATTATTTTCTTTGAAAGTGGCAACCTTGCTGGGGGCTGAGTCGCCCTATGGGTCAAATTCTAGAATCGCCACTGGTGGACCTCCCCCCCCCCCACCCCATATTTTCCATCCAGGCTGCTCACCACCAGCGAAAATTCTGCCTCAGAAAGTGCCGGAACGTTACGCGGCGTCACCGCGCTCATTTGTTCTTGAGACCTCAGGAAAAGGGTTTTTGCAATATCAACACAGCCATCTGCTTAATGAGGGGCCTTTCATCCGTATCAAAGCCTCTTCGCGTCTGACGGAAGCGGCCAATAATGATAGCTTTTGACAACCGACAATCAAAGCTCAATTACTGGCACATGGTGCGCTCCTGTACAATGGATCCCCTCACAAAGACAGCGCCCCACTGCCCCCACCCCTTAAACGCCGCATGCTGCACCCGCTCAGGAGACAGACGAGGAAACCTACGGCAAATCTGCTGGCAAAATGCCTCCACACCCCCCCCACCTGGTGATCTCAGCCTTAGTTCAAGTCCTCAATCTTCCATTGGCTGTCAATCAACTGCCCCAGTGTCGGTAATGGACGACTTTGACACTTGTGGTGTATAACGGCGCCACCCTCATCTGTGTGTGCTGCTAACAGATCCACGCGCTTCCAGAATAATCACTCATAATAGCTGTACTGCATATTTTAACTTACTCCAGAAAAGAACAATTAGAATACACACTGGATGGCTCTTTTTTTTATTGTACCAAGGTATCCATCCATCCATCTATCTCTCTATCTATGGACAAACAGAAAGTATCACAAATACTTGATATATGAGTTACTCATGTGACATTTCGGATGAGATGTTTGATCGATGGCAGCCAGGAGAAGAAGTGACTGCGATGATAATTTCAGGATTTCCTGGGACAGTTACACAGTTTTACGTTAAGATCCAGCTGCTGAAGAGGAGGACTGACAGAAATAAGAGATGTTAAACAAATATGCCCCGACCATAAGTGATAAACATCATTCCCTGTATTCCAAGCACAGTGACAGGAGGCTCAGGAGCGGCAAAGTAAACCGTGTAAAATGGATCATAATATTTGCTCTTCTCGGGTCGCACATGTCCCCCCCCCCCAAGCCCCCCAGGGAGTCCGTGTCTAGTGTGAAGACAAACACAGAAGCTGATAGCTCAGACGGGGACTGAATGACGCCATGCCCAGCCTGCAAACATCATCCGCGCTCCGGCTAATTCAAAAGTAACCAATGGAAATTATATTTTTTATATTGTACAATTAATTTTTATTGTACAGATTTAATATTAACTGACAATGAAACTTAACGGAAACACACTATTTAAACAGCGTACATTTATTTTAGGGGGAAAGGGGGCTAAAGACACCTAAAGCCCCCCTTAGATGGCCCACACGATGCCCGTTGGGCACGTAAGGCCACGCCGACAAACTGTGCCTGCCAACTTTCTCACCGGCTCTCCCAAAGCGAGACTATACTACTGTAAAGAGAAGGGGAAAATAAAAACCAAAAAACGGAAAAGTGAAGATTGAGGCGAGTACAGATTCCGAATAAACGCCACAAGGACAAATGTACGATTCGGCAGCTTTTAGCAGGCGACCAGATGCCTACTCTGAAACGTCTGGGAATCCAAATCCCCACCAGGACGAGGGGTTAAAGCTTTTAAGTAAATGCGTTAACGTTCAATTTTTTGGAAATGATAGCGAGGGTGGTGGTGGGGGCGAATGTACGCACCCCATCCGCAAAGCCGGCGCAATTTCTACGCACCAATTACTGCCTGTCCTGCCTCAGCTGCCGCCTGGGACTCCTGGCTGTTTTTCAGCAAGGTAGGGGAACGCTGGAGTAATGGCCTACTTCAGGGATAAAACGCAGCTTTATTTTATTTACTGGATCCTCATGTATAATAAATTACAGAAATCCATTAAAACGCGCACACGCTAACCAACGTAATGGAGGTCGCTTCTATCCCAGCCCGATTCTTCCCAGCTGTGAAAAGAACAGCGAAAAAAATCAGAGAAACCAGCTCTGTATTTTATTTCGTCAAACACAGCGTGAGTTTGATCTCAAAGTTACCTTGTCATCCTGTTCCTTCCCCATAACAGACAAAGAGTGGAAATCCGTCCCGTCTAACGAATTTAGCAGCAAAGGTATTAAATATAAATACTGTATTCCAGCTACAGGCAGAGGACATTACCACTCTTGGTTTGTTGTATCATTACCGCTACAATGTATTATCTTTGTTTATTATCATAAATTAAGTGGTGACGCCACATAGGTCGTCCTGGAGGAATATCAACGGAGTAACCGAGAAGTAAAATTACAGGCTGCGCAATAAACGTTTAATTGCTCCAGGGACAAAGAATAAATGCCTGAAAGCAGATGGGAATGCAAAAAGAGGCATTCCAATATACCTGTAATCATACTTATGCAAATAGAGAATAAAGCTTCATTTCATTTCATTTTGTTTAATTTTGTTTCATTTAAGTGATTCTTCCCCCATCTCAGAATGACAGGAAATAGTGGGTCATCAGCCCCCACAGTGTTTATCTGTTACTTCCAATTAGTGTAACAGGGAGCTGATCGATTAATAGGCGAAACCCAGCAGCATGAAAGAGAAAGCTGCTCTCTTCTGTTCCAGAGGAGCACGGAAAGAAGGTTGGATGCGTGGCGACCGCAGCAGCGTGGCCCGATTACACCCCGGCCAAGGGAACGTCTGGGCCCACGGGTCTGCAGTCTGCTCCACCAGACCAAACCAGGTGAGAACGTCAGAGAGGAACTGAGCTAGAAATGGCTAACTGGTAATCTTACTTTGGGCTAGAAGCAGGGTCAATTGTACGACTAAACATACGGGGCATAAGAGGGATCATAATTCATACAGAGGGGCCAACCTTGTCATCAGGGGAGGGGGCCAATCAGGTTTGGGGGGGGGGGGACAGTACCCCTGTTGCTCCACCCCTGTATATGCAGGGAAGCTTACACTACATCTCATGTGGTGACAGTGTAACATTTCAGGCATGAGGCAAGGTGACGGGTTCGTCAGCTCACATTCACCTCAGAGTGGCTGGCCTAACCTGGGCTCGCTGGACAAGGGGGGGGGAGGGGGCTGGACAAGCCATCGAGATTCAGCCGAATGAAGATTAACACAGAAATTAAGTTTTGAGCGCGAAGCAGAACCACCCCCCCCCCCAACAGAGTAAAAAAACGAAACCCCACTGGAACAGTTCCAGTTTCTGCCAGGATATTATGATGGTTAGTGCTGGTGACAGGGGGGCGCGGATCCACGGTACATCACAGGCAATCGATGTGACACGTGGCGGACCCTGAAAGGATTTCATTCTGCGGTAACAGGCGACAGCGCCGATCCGGTAGCCGATCCGGTAGCCGATCCGGCCGCGAGTATGTTTCTGTGCCATTACCAAGACATGGACGCAGATGCACCAGCGGCAGAAGCAGATCGATAGCGGCTTTGAAAGTACGCTGGAAAACAGATGCTTAATATTTTTACTTCCAGCACAACGGGGGGAAAAAAATGAGAAACTAGCATTGGAACAGAAACAGCAGGCAAGAGAAAAAAAATCAATAAATAAATAAAGCAAAAAAAAAAAGGACTCGGCTGAAAATGTTTATGTTCACAAAATTCAAAGCACATCTCAAACCGCATCTCAGTTTCTTGTTTTCGCCCCTTAAATTTAGCCGTTCACCACTTCAAACAGGAAGCCCGCATCAAAAGAGTGATCCTGTTGTCAGTTTTTCCCGTGTTTTTATTTATTTTTTTTGCTGCGGGCACGCTGGTGGACGGCTAAGGCGGCGTGGGAGTGGGAGTGTGGGGTTTGGCCGGTTATTGGGCCCGCCAGAGGGTTATCACTACCCGATACTGTGGATAGTGGATGGTTTTATTTTGCTAGTCTAAATTTGTCTGGTTGAGGAGCGGGAGACAGGGCCCATTTTTGGAAAAGCGGGTCTCGGGTCGCCCAAATCCATGCCGGGAGGCAGAGTCACGTAAGACGTCGGGAGCTGATCAGCCCTAACCTGTCAGATGCTCATCGCCAACGCTGACCGCCGAATCGGGGCCTACCGGCGCTGCTCAAAAATCCTGCTAAAACTCGTTTATGCGCAGAAATAATTAGCAGGGCTATCGCAGAGGGCCATCCTGCAGAGGCGGGATGCAGATGCTGAGACTAGCTGTGCTGTTCAGCTGCTCGGAAACTCGTCTCACTTTACAAAGAAAACTGACAATCTGTGGAAGGGCTAGCTCCACTTCTCTAAGGATGCCAAATTACCTTCTTATTCTGCAAAGGAAGCAAAATGATCTTTAATTTTGCCTAAGGTCCCTGAAAACATAGATCTACGCATGATCTACACATTACAAACTTGCTCTTAAGCGAAGCTAATGACCGCCATCTTAGCTAAGCCCTTTACCTGCAGCCTGACGCTTCTTACATACACAAACCAGGAGAAGAATCTTGGACAAAAACATAAATTACCCTGACATAACAATCTAGCCACTGCCTGCACCTTAATCCTTAAAGATGAATGCTATACCCTACTGATCATACACAGAAGCTGCTTTTTTTTGTCTTCCCCCCGAGACAGACGGATGATACTTCTTACTTCTTAAAGAAATAAAGTTTTCCGCCCTTAGCCAGAAAAATACCAGGTGTTTTTTTTTCTTTTCAGTCTCGGAAATAACAGAGAATAGCTCCGGACCACAGAAGGCAATCTATACATCTTCCTGAGAGAATGGAGCCACTTCCAGCAGGCCAATCCAATTGGCCAGTCACCAGCGTAATCTCCGCCACCGCACACGGATATTAAATGAAATGGATTGTGGGCTGGCACAGGGGGATCATGGGATTGGGGGACGGTCAAGACTGCGGGGCAGGGGGGGGGACTGAAAGCAGTATTTTTGTCTGTAGTCCATTTTTTGTTTGCAATCCAGTCTTATTTATTTGTTGTTTTTTATCATCCATTTCTCTATCTATCTATCTATCTATCTATCTATCTATCTATCTATCTATCTATCTATCTATCTATCTATTCATCCATTTATCTATCCATCCATCCATCTGGGGGGGTTAGGGTTGACACAGCAGGAGAACCACACAGCACCCTGGCCTCGTCCAGATGGGACTGACTGTCACTATCCCATGGACCGGGCAGTCCATCTGGGTTCTGATCAGGGATCAGGACTCTACTAAAAATCCAAAAAAAACCATGACAAAATGTGACCTGCGGGCCTGGATCCAAACTCCTTGAAATTACGAGACCCCATATTTAAGGGTAGGCAAGGTGGTGGTGGTGGTGGTGGGGGGGGGCAGTGTTTATAACCTTCGCTCTGTTTATAGCTACACCTTACACTTGGCGATAACACCCCCGCAGGATAACACCCCCCCCAGCCCCAATGACCGCAATTTACAGCACGTCGACCGCAGGCACTGACAGAGCATCCGTAACGTGCACAGCAACAGAGACTGGCGGCGCTGATAAGGACGCTCAAATCCAGCTATATCATCCCTCCATTACTCCTCTTCTGGAAGATTCTGTGCCTTCAAGGTCACCTTCAAGCTATGAGGCCTGGCCTATGCGAGATTTAGTATTTCATATCCTGTGGGATCATGATTTTTAATTTGTCTGCCAAGGTGTGGAGGCGGGGGGGGGGGGTGTTGGTTGGGGAGTTACCAGTTACTTAGAGTAACTGGGGGTGAATTCACAAAGAAGGCACCACAGCACACCCCCAGCTCCCACCCCCCTGAGTCTCCATCCTCTTTACTGAGTTTCTTTCTAGGAATTAGTTTGGTGGCACTTCGCTGGGAATGTGTGTGTCGATGTATCCCATGTGTGAGCCTGGCTGGAAATGAGACAACTCCCTATATCAGGGGGGGAGTTGGGGGGGGGGTTGCTTTTTGGCTGTAATTCCGCTACAAGAAAAAAAAACAGAACGATGGTAAAGCAATCTTAACAGGCTTGGCACCCCTCGGGGGGGGGGGGGGCTTCCCTCCGATGGGTTTGAGGAGGGAAGATGGCAAATGAAAGAGAAACAGTGGAGGAAGGTAGGGATGGAAAAAAATCAGACGTGCAAAGTTAAGAGGGCATGAGGGATGAGAGGAAAAGGACAAAAGCAGTGAGAAAAAAGAAATGTAACTGCAGAACTGTGGAAGGGCAGAGAAGAGAGCAGTGAGAGGGGATACATTAGCAGCCAAGAAACCCAAGAGGATGCAGAAAGTACTGAGGTACAGCTCAGAATAACTGCTTCAATGTTTTCCTTTCATTTTCGTGATTTTATTTTGGTAGCCATTAAATCGTGACTTTCTAAGGGCAGAGTCTTTTTGTCGTTCTTGGGGCCACACTCAGAAAGTCACCTCACCCCCCCCCCCTCCCTGCACTCCCCAGTGTAGTGACTGTTTGTGGCCACCAGGGGGGCAAACCTTGGGGTGCCCTCACAAATGCATGGCTTCAGAGGTGGTAAACACTGCGGCTGAGAAGAAGGATCGTCTGTCTGCTTAAAAACTTCCACGAAGGTGCAGTCAGCTTAGACGGAACTGGCCAGCATTCACGCCAATTCCAGTCCGTTGGGCTCCGTCCGGCAAGGACACATAAGTGCAGGGAGGTATTAAATGCGCAAAAGGGAGCATTTAATTCTCAAAAGCTCGCAGCCCAGCGCCTGGAACGTTTTGGATCCCTCAGATTTTCTGGTGACTTTCCTGCAAGCGCCGCAATCCTTTCTGGCGGCAATGAGAGGAATATGAATAAGGCTAGGGACGGCATAACGAAGACCACAGAGATGCTGGGATTTCCAGGTTTTTCCACCACACACCTACCATTCGGACAGGGGAATATGTAGGGGTGGGGCCACAGGAGTACTGGCCCCAGCTTAAAGCTGACTGGCTCCTGGAGTCCCCCGTCACCTGTCACTCACTGATGCAAAACATATCATTGGCTAATGATAAGGGTGACCCCCTCTGTGCACCACACCCCTAAAAATTCCTTGAATGGCTCCTGCACCCAGATCAGTCTGCCACTGTGGCCATAATGCAGCACCAAAGCCTGCATGCATACTGACTAAAACACCCGCAGGAAAATGGCGCCAAATATGGGATTAAAAAGCCCAAACCTTTTAACATGCAATGTACTACAATGTACTCATGTTCACATTAGATGCAAGATCCATGGGAGGGTGGGATGGGTGAAGCCATCAGCTCCCAGATATCAATGCTGGGTCCCACCGTAGTGGGTGGGCGGACGGACGAAGGGACAGACAGATAGATACGCTGAGGCACAGTGCATCTGCTGAAGGAATAAGTCGTTTGACCCCAGAGTCACTGACGGACCCACATGTTATTCCAATCCCCCACCAAAAAGCACACTCGTCCACTTTTCCCAAGCTCTGCCCCCCATCTGCAATTCGCCCGGCGATCGGGATGCCGGACACGACTCTGGTGTGGAGGGGGTCTGAAACGTTTACCGCATTCGGCAGGCTGAACGTATTCGGAAGCGACAGGAGCGCAGCAAATAATCCATGAATAATTAATCAAAAGGAAATGGGAATTCCACGAAGTAAACATAAGAAATACGGCGGCTCCTCGCAGATCAGTGTGGGGCTTCCGTGCTGCCCCGTTCGGACGAAGCAAAAGAGGCTCGTTTTTGGCTGCTTAACACCGCTTCTAAAATAAACGTTGGGAAACAGCGAGCACGTGCTGCGTTTTTAAAGCATTTTAGGAGAACTGCGGAACCTTTTTCCGATCTGCCGTTCGATCTCTTCCTCTCTGATTCATCAGAAACTGAACCAAGTGTCACTGAGGCTCGTAAAACACACACAGGCTCATACTCGAGCGCATGCTCTTCGCTCAGCAGACAGACGGCCTTCGTGGGACAAACAATACCCCATTCCAGTCGGGGCTCAAACATGGCTCCACATAACCTTCAAACACAATGGAGGCCTCCGCTCATTCAGAGCCATGCTACTTTATTACTCTGCTGAAGCCATCAGCAGAAAGAGAACACAAAAAAGCAGCGGGATGTCATTGAAATGGCCAGGCCCCTCGGTCCTGATATGGGAACGACAATGGCGCTAATTGGAAAACCAGTAGAGGTGTGGGGTACACCGGGGCTCCCACTCGAGAGCAAAGCCTCTATGGCTCAGCCTTGGGGGGGGGGGCGAGGTGCACCAACGCCCTTTGGGGGCCTTGGGGTGGGGGGGGTGGCACTTGCATTCAATTTGGGCCGGCACGAGAGAGGGCAGTAGACAATGAGGCACTGCCCCTCCACTGAGCGCTTATCTTTCCCAGGGCGCTGTGGCCTGACTCCTTTTGTTGAGAGACCTTCCTGCTCGTACAGTCTGGCGTCGATTCCTCTAGCTCGCCGGGCCTTGGACTCAAACTGGGATGTGTCTCCTGAGGCACGGAGCCATATGATTAGATTACAAGTCACTTATGAGCTCTTATCCAGATTAAACTTTTACACTTCATCCATTCACAGGCCTGGAAAAAAAGCTTGGTTTGGTCAGCTCTCAGAAGGTTCTAGAACTTCTACTCCCCCTTTAGATCTGTTCTGATTACATCTCCTCGTGGTCGGTCCTGACCAGTTCTGGAACTGGTATACCTCCTTTGGGTCAGTTACGGCCAATCCCAAAACCTCTGCACCAGTTTCGGTCAATTTGCTTCAGTTGCAGAACCGCTACGCCCCCTTGTGGTCCTCCTTGATGGTTAAGATATGTCCCTCTCTGCAGCTTCTATCATCAGCATTATGGTGTTGAAACTACATCTGAGACAGTATCCTCCACAAAATCCCAATTCAAATTGGTCAATAAACACATATGTCCACATGTGCTCTGCACCCACGGAGGAGCACTGGATGAGTATATCTTCAACACCTTTTTAAAGCTTTGATATTTTGTTGGACTTCACAAGATGTCTGAGAAAAGGAGTGCGGAACCATATCTGACAGCACTCCGATTTTTTTCAGATTGATCCTTCTCCATCAAGTGAAAAGATTTTTTTTTTCCAGATGCCAACATGATTTTTTTAAAGGAGACAAGCACGGACACACAAGTATCAAGACACGGACCCGCCTCATCAAATCCGACAATTAACGGGCGCTTTGCTTCGTTAAACACAATGTGTCATTACCTCACTCACTCGCCACGCTTTTCCGTGGTGCCAGGAAGGGGGTGGGCCAAACACTTGTGGTGGTGGGTGGCACGGGGGCACGGCCTAATTAGCAGAGCACGGAAAGAGGCCGTTCAGTTTGACACGTTTGAGACCCGGGGCCGAAGCAGAACAGCTGTTCGCAGGCAATAACCCGGTCACCCAAAGGAGCAAGGATAGCTTGCGTAATTAGGTACCGGCATTTCATTACGGACACCGGGCCGTGGTGAGCGAGCGGGGGCGTAATTACCACCACAGTCACACCTGTGGTTAACACTTTGCAGACAAGGGTCAGGAACGGTGGATCTGGAGCAAAAGCTCATTTTTACCAATAGCGCCCCCTACAGGCCACGTGTGTCTTTCTCACTAAGGTACACTCAGGAGAGTGGGAGGGCCGGAGTGGGAAAGAGGGACATGGGGGGAGGGGGGCGTGTTGAAGAGGGATGCTGTTATTGCCCAATATACTGGCAAATTAAAAATGCTGTAATTAATCATACAGCAGCATGAACCCAAACACAAAAATATTAAGGCTCATTAATCCCCACATAGGCGGCAAGAGATTAAGGTTTAAAAAAAAAAAAAAAAAGATTAAAAAGTCTGACGTATTATAAGTGCTGAGAAGGGAGACGTAATATTCAAGACAGGCCTATTATTATTCAGTGGTTGAAATAAAATAAATATGAATTTGCTATACAGCACATATATTAAACTGCTAAGAGGCAGGCTAGTTAACCTCCCAAAACTTAACAGAGACAAATGCAATATTAGCAAAAACTGAGAATGCTTTCCCATCACACTTCAATGACATATCTTTTCAAAGCTTATATGCTGGTAATTTGCGTCACAATATCAAATACATGTATAATAAAAATACTTAGGACCTATTCACACAAAATGTAAGAATGACGAGAAAAGGAAGTCATTTGGAAGGTAATGACATAAATACAGGCAAGTCCAGGGAAGTCACTGGTTCATGTTTCAAAAATAAGTCACCTTTATGTGTTGTGTGAGAACAGCAGAGCGCCTGCACTGTTCACTAATCTAGTGGAATGTGGATTCACCCTGTAAATATGTGGGGGGGGGGGCGGTGAGAGGCTCAGTGGGCTAAGGCTCTGTGCCTGTGATCAGATGATCAGCAGATCCAACCCTGACCTTGACAGAACTGTCACATGTCTGTGGGCCCTTAACGCCCAGCTCCAGGGGCACTGCACAGTGCACACTGCACTGCACTGCACTGCGCTGTGACCCCCAATCTAAGGAGAGCAAGATGGGGTCAGTGAAGAGAAACATTTCAATATACCTGTACTTGTGCAAATGGTACAGAAAGCATGTTTGTTTGTTAAATACTACAAACCCAGAGCCATAGCTGTGGTTGTGCATGTTAATTTAAAGATAAACATCCCTTTACCGCGGCACAGTTTAATACCTGCCAGCCGCAGCTCCTTTCTGTGTTTTTCGTGTATGAATGACATTCTACAAAAGCATCTGGTTGCACTGCTTGTTTTTGCAGGGAAAAGAAAGAAGTTGTCTCCCCCGGAAAGCTCTGGAGAAGAGATTTGGGAATTTGCATCTCTTTCACGTCACCTCCCACTGGATCTGGCGCTCTCCATCCTCACGCACCTGCTCATGCCGTTCCCATGATTCCCACTCAGGATAGTGATCGTCTGCCAGTGCCAGTACTGAGGAAGACGTATATACCCTGGGTGCTCCCGCACGTCCGCGATCTGTGGTCGTGGCCCTGGGGGAGAAGCCCTTTGGCAGGCTGGCAGACAGACCCACACGGCATGGGAATTCGGCTGGGGATCAGCAGGGCTTTCATTCTACAGATCCTTGGTTCAGGGACAGATGAGCAGGAAATTGACTTTGGGGGGGTGGGGAGTCGCTATTCCCACACACATGAAGGCGCGTCTGGCCTTCACCAAGGGAGGCCCGTGGCCCCCAGGCTGGACAAAGCAAAATAGATACAGACACAGAACATGCAGATATGAGAGGAATGTGCATATGCGTGGAATGTGTCTGTATATACTGAATACACGGACAGGCACAGAACTTGCAGAAATGCACGGAACTCGTTTATATACACGGAACACGTTTGTGTAAATACAACAGACAGGCATACATTGAACATGTTTGTATGTACGGAACAAAGATGTATACATAGAAAATGTCTAAGTACATGAGCACACAGATATGTACGGAACACTTTCTAATTAAAACAGGGACAGAGAACGTCTTCTTCCATCCACGTGTTAATTTTTTGCAAAAAAAAATCGACACCCGCGGCAATATTCCGAAAGCTGACGCTGGCAAAATCCACCGAAATTACCCCTTTATGTGGCAAGAAAGAAAAACAATAATGCCCACCGGCCGTGACTGGGTACAGCAAAGGCAGGGCGGAGCAGTAGCAGTAAAACGCAAGCCGGCGCTGCTGATTGGCCAGGCCGCAGTCACGTGACGGCCCGGCAGCATCACACACCATGCTAATGACCGGATTGGCACGGCGGGGGACACCGGCAGCCTGGTGGTGAGGCAATTAGGCAGTGTGGGAAGCGTGTGGAGGCCGTGCTCGGCGGCACCGGGCGCGCGTAATAACAACCGTCATTTAAAAGAAAAATTATTGCACCTGTTTAATTACTGCGATAATTGCGGCCTGTTTGTTTGCGGCCCAGGGGTCCAGCAGTGTGCTGAGAGCGACAGAAGCCTGCAATAATAGTAATGCCTCTCATCGCCATTAGGAAGACACATTCCTCCCCTCGGGTGGTGTCCACTACAGCGTCTGTCAGGTGTCCCCCCCACCCCCCACCCCCCTCCGGGTTCCTGGCGTAAACAACATGAGAGCCTCGTCATGTTCAGCTACCCAATGAGCCCCACGCACAAATCCGGCACTTTTCCATGAAAAGCGTCTTCAACTTCCACCATCTCATTGTGGAAACAGCCGGATCTTTGCTACCGGACCTTTTTTTACATTTTAATTTCATGCCTTGCAGGACGGGTTACTGATCTTAAGGGCCCTTGACCATCCCACTCAAAGGTGCAATAAATCAATCAGCAAATCGCTAAAGGCCCCAATTACACATAATATGGCGTCTTTTATCTCGGATCGGTCGCATTTCGGAGCCGTTATATTAATACTGTCAAATTTTAAATACACTATACATTTTCTGTGCTGAATACTTGAAAGTAGAGTAGTCCGTAATTTCAAATTCAGCACTGAAAAATATGAAAACTCTGAAAAAGCCGACCCCAGAAATAATGACAGAACCCTTCATAATAACCAAGTCAGCCTGCTATTGTAGGGCTTAATGTATTTCCTTGACTCAGGATCAATCAATTTTCAGAATTTAGGTAACGTAATTACCAGACTTTGCGCCGAACAAAAAAAAAAAAAAAAAAAACAAAGAAATATGTTCAAATGAACTAGCCCACTAATTGCTCATTAATAACAGGGCGGAACAATAGGTCCGTCTAATAAAAAGCCGGCAGCGTTTAATGGAGGAGCCCAGACAGTCAGCTTCGCTGTGGAACCCTTAGGGAGAAGCTTTCAGTCACTCTGTGGTCTACGGAGCAAGATTTAAATAGCTAAACAGTTTCCGAGACAAAGGAGCAGGCACAGTTACCGTTTATTACATCCACTGTCATATGAAACTCAAGCTTCCATGATAAAAATCACGGTTAATGTCTGGTTAAACGGCTCTTAAGATCTTATTCTTACTGTCATCAGGCACAGGGTATGTTGCTCTCAGATTATCATGGCAGACATCTATTCCTCCTTTCTAGGGAGCTCAATACTAACGTACCCTGTGTACTTGAGAACTTGGCTAAATAACAGTGTTCTTGGTTGTGTCTGATCACAGGCCTTGCAGATAAACGGAAATGGATTTCGGATTAGCAGTGACATCCCCTGTGGATCCTACGGTACAGACCCAGGGTGAGTACTGAGTACTTAGAGATGTGATCCGTTGCCCCCTTTCCTTGAGGCTGCCGTCAGCACCTTGGAAGATGCCAAAACAAGCTCCAGGTCGAGATCGAAAGCCACTTGACGGTGGGGGGCCCCAAAAAAACAGTTACATTGGTCACCCACTCCCCCAAAAACTTCGAAGGGCCTGCGGCTCCAAAGAATGGGACCTGCTCTGATGTCAAGCAGGAGATACGGACCAACTACATGGACTCTGAACTGTCAGAGCATTCCACCACCAGCATGGGCATGGCACGCTCTCCCGTCCGCCACATCAAGAGAGCCTAGCAACCGAAAGCTTTGGGTTCGGTGGAGGGGCCGTGCTCCGTAAAACTGGACAGCCTTTAAGGCTTTCAGTATTGTCATCAGAGGGCTCCCGGCACCGATGCCAAGTCAGTCAAACGCTGTAAATATACACAGTATCTGGTGATTTCAACACCAGAGGATTCCAATTTCAGGCCCAAATGACCTAAATTCTGGCAAGACTTTCCAGTACACAAAGAAGACCGACCTGTAATTATCACAGTAAGCTGTCCGAGACGGTGGGGGGGCTCTTGACACAACAAGCTGGTCACCATACAACTGCAGTCTCATGCCTGACTGGTTACCTCAAAGGCAGCTTGACTTTAAAAACAAAAAGAGCACCCATCGGTATTTATGAATCACTGGCGGTGCGTGACAGAGTTTATCAAAGTGTCACCGAAATCAGGGGTCAACACTATGGCAAATTCTGATGATACTGTGAATAAAATGCAAATTTTATTACAGACATGGCATTTAAAAATGCAACCTGCATAGTTTTTTTTACAACAGATAGAATTGACGATCGCTGATCAAAATACAGACCCTATTTCTTAAGCAGTGTGCTTGTGGCAGACTTTAACTGTTACTCCTAAATGACAGCACTTAAAATTTAACCAAATATATCATTACTCTTGTGAGGAAACTGTATTGTACTACAGTACCACAAAATCCACTGTTTACATGTATACAATAAAATGCATTATAACGGAATTACCCTGCTAACAAACAATTCTGTTCCACCTGGTTGCTGGTTTTATTGATTTTAATAGTAAATTTTATGCAATAAAAACTTCATTGCCTTGCCATTACAAGTACGGCCATGTTCTCATTGCCCCCTCGTCACCGCGTATACGACAGTGTACCATGTACACTCCTGTATCATTATAATGGAGCTGAAAGCCATCATGACGTCATTATTCACACATTGTTCACATCTGTGGTGATGCTGGTGCAAACAGCCTGCTGTATGGCCATTCATATGAGTATAGCACATACAATTATGTACAGTACATAATACTTTATGAAGATGTTAAACAACTGTTACTGGTTTATGTATTTATTATACTGTATTTAATCATTATTTTAGAGTGTACTCTTCCTACTTATAAAAGTTTACTCTAGAACAACATGCTGTGTTATGCATAGGGTCTGCTTTCTCCATTCATTCATTTTCTCCAAAATTTTTAAAAAACGTATCCCTGTCGTAAACAGAAGACTAGTGTTTTTAAGTTTGTCTCCAATGACTAATATGTTGAAATTTCATATTAGTGATGTGAGCTATAAATGGTTATGTAATGCTGCAGCGTGTGAGGCCCAGTGCTCAGAACCTACCGGCACATTTGGTCTTGGCACGAAGCGGCGGGCCGGGGGCTCCAGTGCCCCCATCCAGGGGCCGCGTCAGCAGGACGCTGATCTCGTACTCGGTGTCAGGATCCAGATGACCGATCTTGTGCGTGGTCTTGTCAACGGGCTGGTTGTCAATGAGACTTCCGGACACGGTGCGGTACTCCACCTCCCGCTCGATAATAGGGCCATCCCCGTTGATAGAGTTGGCGTTTAGCTGGATCCACAGGTAGGTGGCGCCAACCCCTGTCAGTTGGGGGGGTGCGATAGGCACTGGGGGTTCTGGGAAGGGAAAAACATGACGCAAGAGGTACAAAGAAATGCTCTTCATGATGAAACATGGCAAGGCATGTATTTCTGTGATATGTCCTAAAACACCCTAAAATTAAAGGGACTTTCTTGGATTTTTTTCAACATATGCATTTATATTTAAGGGTAACTGCGATGACTAATGATTGATATGTGTACCATTTACAACTTTTTTTGGGACAGTTAGTAGCTCAGTGGGTTGTGGATCTGTGCCGTTATCCAGAAGGTCATGGGTTCGAATCCCATAGCTAGCAGAGTAATCATATCACCATTTGGTACTTGAGCAAGGCCCTTAACCCCAGTTGCTCCAAGGATGCAGGCTAACCCATCTTCTACATTCTCTGTGGCTTTGGACAAAAGCACCAACTAAACAGAGTATATTTTAGTAACTCTTTCAGGCATTTTGCTGGACACCTCTCGCATGGTCTTCTACATGTCATTGCCTTTTCTCCAGTTTTTATTGTAGCCAATAGAGTGGCGACAGGATGTCTGTGCCGTCTAAGGCTGGACCATCTTTCCTGAGCAGTTCCAGCCATGCAGAAAGAGTTAACGATTCCATCGCGAACACCCAAGGGAAAATTTAGCAAAGTCGATATTTTATTTAAATGCAAAGCTATTTAACTGAATTGGGTCATTGTATAATCTGCGTGTGGAGACATTAAATTTGCTCTTGGTGAAATTTAATCACTACCGATTTGTGATTAGCAAAGTCCATTAAACTGCGCTCTTTATGCTATCCGACATCATGCAAGGTGGTCTGGTTTGCCTTCGCATAGGTCTTACCGGTCACCACCCAACAGTTTCTCATGCGTAAATTAACTACTAACATTTCTGCGGTTTCTGTGTCAAAAATCCTGGGGTTTATTTATCAGATGCTGAGTGCTAAATAGCGACGGTTAAACAAATTTAGCCCGGCGACCTTCGCTGATGCGAAATCACTTTGAAATTAACACCCCTTGCTTCCTGGGTCCTGCTGCAATTCTCCAGTGTCCCATTTAAAGCATCCCACAGCAGCAAGGTCTGGAGGAATGTGTGATTAATATTTTTCAGGGCTAGAAGTGCATTACATTCAAACGAGATGTACTGCTTCCCATTGCAAATAAAAGATGATCACTTCAGTCGTTTATATGTAGTTTTTTTTTCTCTCTCTCTTTTTTCTTCCTTTAACCTTAGAATTGTATTTGTGAAAATGAATTGTGCTGGGCTGCGGGGCAGAGATCAGGAGCTAAGTAGGCGATCGGGTCCAGTTTTGGCCGCGGGTCCGAGCGACCGTGCTCTGATCAGCCGTGCTCTGACCGACCGCGCTCATACTACCCCGCTTCTTCATGGTTCAAACAGCTGACTCAGTTGCCCTGTTACCCCCCCCCCCCCATGTACTATTACGCCCATTATCACACTCTTGTAAATAACTCACAGTATATATGCTATTACTTAATACGTTTTCTCCTTACTCCTTGCCTTAATTTCATTCATTATCCTACACGTCCTTTTCTCTCGTCATCGTTGTGGCCTTCAGTCCACTGATCTCACCTCCTGATCAGGGCGGGCCGGCCGTCCACCCAGTTACTTAGACGTCTCGCACCCAAAGCCCCGCAAGCCTTTTTGTTTATGCCTCTTGAGTTTCCTCCTTTTCTGCCTGACTTTATGAATCCATGCACCTGGCCCTTCTTCTGACTAACGGTGATTCACCATTTGTATTATTTTAAGAAAACGCCGCCAGTAAAACCGCTCTTATCTGTACAAGGCCATGTGGCTAATTTTAGCCACCCGCTAAGAACCACTGTGCGCCACTCTTGACCTTAACTTAATTAATGAGGATGGAGGCGACCTGAGCTGCTGAATGAATGCGATAAACACGTAGCTTGACCTTTATGGTCCTGTTCATCGAGTTTGTTTGCAAGAATGTCGCATGAGAAAGCAGGGGGCAATGAGAACACAAGTGCCTTACACCACAGGAACAGCAGGCCGGCACTATGGCATTGGTTTCACCTGCGATTACTGGCACAGTGCGGGATATCCATCTTACTGACATCTGTGTGCATGCGTGGGTGAAAATTAATTCATAAAATGTATATTCTTTATAAAGATGACCGAATTCGGCATTGATACAACCAGTCCTTTCATTCAGCTAGTTTGGGGGTGATTCCTCATGAATAGTGGTCACATTGGTTATCAGCTACACTGCAACAAACATAAAAATATCTGCACAAGGAGTGTAGAAAATAGATACAATTAACAGACTAAACGCAAAGGCCCCAGGACCCAAACGATGAATCACAACATTGTTGACTTAAAACATCCAGAAATTCACCTGGGCTTAACCTTATTTTAGACGCCCCATCCATTCTCTTCTTTTTTTTATCAAGTAAACGTCCATCACCTCGATCTCCTTTTTCATGTGTAAATTAGCCATCCAAAGCTCCCCTGCCCCGCTGATCTCTGACACGGCAAATTTAAAATTTAAAGCAAAGTTAAACAGAGATGCCGCGATACTGACAGACCATCTATAAGGAACCAAAAGGAGGTTCAGGAAGCTCTGCTTGGAGTTATGTTGCAGCTGTCCTTTTCTCGGGTTGCGGTGGTACCCGAGAGTTGCTGATCGATGCTTTCTCATCTCCCTGTGGTCACTGACTATAACAATTTGGGAACAAAGCCTGTCTGATTGGATCCCAGAACCAGTGAGCTCTCAACTTGGACAAAGTCCAAACATTATCCTGTCAAGCCAATGCTAGAACAGGCAGAACTACATTAGCGTTACGCTAACAACCTTACTACTGACATGTTTGTTAAATTCGTCTTCTATTACAGGCTTAGGAAGATTGCCGCCGGTCTTCTCCTCTTCCTTCTGTCAAGTTCTCTGCTCACAACTAAAACAACGCCTCCTTGAGGATGGGAACTGTCACCATCACAGTCAGACCAGCTAACCACCAGCATGAATGCTAAAACAGCAGTCACTGCTCCGAAGAGTTTCAGGTCCAGAAAGCAAAAATCCAAACCAGGATTTTGTTTCAACCAACTTTGTTTCAAGTACTCTGTGACTGTGTCTCAACTGGTTGGTTGAAACAAAATCCTGCTTGGGATTTTTGCTTTCTGGACCTGAAATGTCCACCTCTGCTGCTCCGTAATGGAGTCCTGCAGCGTGGGAGGAGTCACTAAGGTGTAAAAGGCAGGGCCCTGGAGGGTGTAAATGATTCATCCCACCAATGATCCCTCTGAAGGATAGAGGTCAGTGCTGTTAACCTTACAGGCATGCACCTGGGCACCTAAACGGGTCTTTTTGGGTTCTCTGTCACTGTCTGTACAGTTGACAGGACAAGCCCCACAAACCAAAATAAATAGCTAATGTGTAGTCAAAAGATCATAGCTAGCTAGCAGTTCAGCATAACATGCTGCTTCAGCATTTCTTAAATAAGCAATGTGTTTACTTAATATTTACCGTAGTGACTGTTTGAAGTCAACGAGGGCCCGATACAAATATGTGGTATATCAGATCACGGTCCCACCACGGACACTGCCAGTGGGAATTTTACCCATGTTATGGGCCTGAAAGCGTTAATGCCCGCAGGCAGGTGAGAGCCAGGTTATATTACTGTGACTGACAGGCTTCTATCGGCCAAGACAGGATTAAACCTATCAATCACACTAAGATGTACAGTAAATATAATTTGGAGCACAGTGGGGGAATGGAACAACAGAAATAAGGCAGACCCCACCCCAGCTGGAAAAAGCTTGGGCCCCAGAGGTCAGAGGAAGCAAAACCCGGCTTCTCCAAATTTGGACTCCAGTACCCACATTCATGTGACCTGGAGCTGCTGGATGCCATTTTAAATCCATGTTACTTTACAGGGATTTACAGAAGCCTGATATGAACTGAGAAATATAAACATAAGTCGATTTTGTGCAGAATCTGTGTCAAAGACAAGCCATCGGGACTCCTGGAAACCCCCCACTTACGTTTGACGGTAAGATCCGCGTACGTGGACACCCCAACTCCTTTGTCAGAATGCACTATGCAGCGGTAGCGTCCTGAGTCACCCTTGGTGGTGTTCTCCACGTCGAAGGTTGCGATGAACCGTCTGTCGTTCACAGGTCGCGTGGATCTGCGTGGCGCCTCCCGCCCTCCGATACCCTATTGGGGGGGGGGGCAGGAAAAAGCAGGTCACGATGTCATTCACCAGGGCTGCCAACTCTCACATGTCTGCCGAGAAACTCACGATTTCAGACTCTCTTTGACACTCACATGAGAAATCTTACGACAAATCTGTATTATTTCATTATAATCCTAAAATTAGCTACATCGAAATCGTTTGGGTAGTTTGCAAACCCTACATACTATTTACATGATTATAAAATGGTTACATACATGTAAATATGTGTGCATGTGTGTGCAGAATTCAATTGAAAATCTCACTCCAGCCAGCTGACCAAAGTTAGCAGCCCTGTGTCATTTCTTGCAATAATAAACTGCCTGGGGGCTTTCCGAAACTCACACTCTATGGGACATTACATTCTCGCTAAGCAGCAATCCGGAATACTCTTATCACCAGGAAAACAAACAGATGTAGGCGGAGAATCAGTAATCAGAAGTCATCCTTTAAAGGTTACAATTAGATGGAGACAATAGATGAGAAAAGGACGTATGCCTCAATAAAGCAATCTCTAACTCTGGAATATAAACATCTGTGTCTGTCATCTTTGCTTGCTGCGTGTTTACTGTGGAGTTACTGCATTCATGCGTCTCACTGTATTGCGCCAGTGGAAAAGGGGGTACATATTCAGCTTCTGTTGTCCAAAAGCCACAACTGCATTTGCTCGTTAAGAATATTTCTTCCTTACTGGCATCGAGAATGTTGCGTAATGTTCATGTTCTATCTCCTCTGGCTAATGGAAAAATGTTGGCGGAATGAGGAGCTGTCCGGCCGGAGTGACCTTGCTGGACACTGCCAGCAGCCTGAGCACAGGCTTCCGTAGATGGAAAGGCCTATCCTATCGTTTCTTCTCCCGATGCAGGTTCTGAACCAATATTTACACCAGAGACAGGCATCTCCTGTAAAATGACCATCCACCACCAACCCACTCAATTGCTTCATTTTGTCATAAATAAGGGTGGAGAGTCTAAACCTTGACGTCATGGTTGGACTGCCCACCAGGGTCCAGGAGACAGAGGGACTCACCTGCAGCCAGATGCTGTAGATGTCCACAGGCCGGCCGCTGAAGGTGCACTGGAAGGTGGCTGTCTGCCTGGCGTTCACCTCCACGCCCTTGATGTGCAGGAAGTGTGGTGTTTTCACTGCAGGTCCACAGGAAATGAGACAAGTTGTTACATCGACAAGAGCTTCATCATTGACTCCACATAAGTGACAACGGGGTGCAGAATTCCCCCACATTCATACCAAGACTCATTCAACGGACGATGTCCATCCCACTGATATGCAATGAGCCACAGTCCTTAAGCAAGTACATTGGCTTGTCATCCAGGCCCCGGGTCAGGTCATTTACCCAAGGCCCCTGGAGCTTCTCGGGGGGGGGGGGGGTGCCTTACTCAAGGGCCCACGTAGTTATTCCATCAAGGGTGGGATTTTAGCCAGCCACCTTCTGTTTACAGGCCTAACCCACTGTCCGCTGGGCCTCATAGCTCCCCCAGCAATTAAAAGGCTAAGCAGTATATTTTACTGTAAAAAATCCAGCTAAAAAACAAAATGTTGTACTTTTTAAACACAGCAACAGGAATAATTAGACATTTCAACAAAGGACCAGCAGGACACGCTGTGTTGCTACACTATGTTCTGATGCTACATTGCTACGCTACCTTGCTGTGCTACTGTACGTTACACTATGCTAAGTGGCTGCCCCACTACCAGTCTCTCCAGAATGGAAGCAGAGGCGAAGCCAGACATGAATCTAGGTCAATCTGCATTTTTAATAGAAGGTGCGACGGCTGCTTGGGATCAACGTCCGTGCTAATCGAATTATGGGAAGCGTGTTTTAATTAGTTTCCGAGTCTCCTGCAAAAAAAGGAGGCCGCCGTGACCTTGATTCAGATACCCGAGACGAGCTTAGGACATTCCAGCACCGTGTCCTGAGCCTGATCCTTTCTGGCCTGTAGTAAATGTAACTCTGTCAATGTAACACCCAATCAACACTTTGCCGGTCATCAGAATGAAACTAAATCTAATCTCACGTCCAGCGTTGGAAATTAGGCTCGCCCACTAGCCTGAGGCGAGTAATTCAGATGAGGGTAGAGCACGAAATACTGGACACTAGGCCACCGGCTAGTAAAAAATAGTCGTTGGAGTACATTTTTAACGAAATTCTCAAGTTCCATCCGTGTCCATGTCCAACAGACTGTAAAATAGGCTCCTCTACATTAATTTTGCATAAAGTGATGCTGGTTGCTTATTGTTGATGTGTAGAAAGTGTGACTCCCCAGTTCTGCCTGTTAGCACGGTACTGATTTCCCTTTATTGCGTGCTGCATGTTTCCCTGGATATTCTGTGTGTTGGGTTCATGCTAAGAGAGCATGGTAGCTCGCGGGCCTGGACACTAGGCGGGCTTTCCAAAGCCCGTTTCGACCCGAAGCCTGGCCCTGACCACTCTTCTCCACAGCCGCGGGAAGCCCAGACGAACGCCTCGGTCTGAGAAGACCATATCTGGCGAACTTTCCCATGTAAGAAGAGGCTATGAATCTTCCGTAAAAGAGGAGAGCAGGGGGAGGGAGGGAGGGGGAGAGAGAGAGAATGAGAGAGGAATGAGGATTTGATTTAGGCTGCTGTGCCATAGTGGAGCTGGGGAGCCATAAAACAAGTTATCCCGCTCGTTACTGCCGGGGGGGGGGGCATCAGTCTTCCCTCACCGTTGTACATCTCCTCACCTTCTGCTCCCCATCTGCATTAAACGCCCAGAATAAATGAGGCGACAGAGGCAGAGCGGGGGCCACCATCAGAGAAGCGAGAGGGGGTGGTGACATAACCACACAGGTGCATCATGGGAGACCACTGCTAACCTAAACAGGCTGTGTGTTTCTTTCATATCTATGTCATTATAGCAAACAATCATTATTATATATTACAGCAAATTAGTCAGTGGGTTAAGTTTAATTTTTACTTCAGCGATACATTTTATTATAACTGAAAGCAAAATTAATTAAAGAGAGAGTTAAGATTATGCAAGTTTCTGCTATACTCTTACAAACTACGAAGGGAAAAAATTATACAAAACTATGTTAAATAATCGTAATTACCTTTAAACCTGGACACTAACAGTAATCAAACAAGGCAATTAAATATTGTATAACATTCAATTTTAAAATCCAGTATTTATACAGTTTTAATTATTCTTATGTTGTATAATGTATCCTAGGACTTTATATTGTTTTCAAATGTATTCCGCTGAACTACTTTTAATTAACTTACAAGAATGTAAACCAATCTATAATTAAGATGGGGCCACTGTTGTGCTCATGCTAATGCTTTGCTCAGGCGGGGGAGAGATCAGGTCTACAGCAAATCTCAAAGGCTCAGCCACAGATGTGGATTTTTTTGGGAGAAACACTGCATTTACAAAATATAAATTTAAATAAACAAGGAGAAGGTTGCCTGTGGTGGACTGGCATCCCATTCAGGGGGCCCTGTGCTGCCTGAGACAGGCTCCCAGCTCCCTGCCCCCCCCCCCCCCCACCAGAATAAGCCTTACTGAAACCATCCTGAGTTATAATGTATGAGGTTTTATCATTTTATTTGTGTGTGCGGTTTCTTTTGGAGAAAACAGTTGGCCTGTATAAGACTAACCCGAAATGATCACATGTAAATGGCTTCTCCACACATGACTGGCCAGTTTAGGGAGTGATGGTGCTGAATGAAGCAGATGTGACATGCGGACGTCCTGCTGAATGTGATATTCATGTTCACCTTCAGATGACGGCAGGGTGACTACAGAGAGGCGCTGATCTAGCCATCAATCTATCATCTCATGGTGCTTCTTCCTCAACTCATTATTATCAATTATTGTTGTTGGTATTATTAATTATAATTTTTATTATTATGGGATTCTGGAGCAGATTTCATCTGGCATTGTCCAGATCCTTCAGTGCAAGACACAGCGGAAGGATTCAGGGACGGACAGGACAGAATGGGACAGGACAGAATGGGACAGGTGGGTGTGACTTACTGCACTGGTGTCCCTGGAGGCGGATGTCCTTAATCGCCAGCAGTCCCCTCTGTCCTGAGGTCACGACTTCGAACACGATCTGGGGAGGGACAGAGAGGCGTCGGGGGAGTGAGTGGCGGCGAGGCACGGCCTCAAATTGGGTGTATCTTCAGATTACCCATTCAAGTCAAACAGCCCTGGATCAGGGTTCGAACGAGGAAGGAGGTCTGCTACATTACAGCATCAGCTGGGGTGGGGTCGCGTTACATGCTGGTAAAACCACAGACTACCACAAAACAGCAAAATTCCAGGCACTTCTAGACATAGTTATCAATATTGTCATTGGCTTTTAAATTAAGACAAAGACACTGCAAACAAAACCTGTAGCTCATGTCATCAAAACAAAGACACAAGGATATAAACAAATTTGTAGCGGCATTATTATTAACTACAATTTCAATGAGTGGATCAACAGAAGCACCATTTTCTTTTTTTGATAAATTATTCATAATTATTTTAGATATATTTTCATTGAAAATGATCTCCATGATATATTTGTTGTAGAGAGAAATTTAGTGTCATTATTCTTTAAAAATAATGATATTATTTAAACTTCCTGACCCGATAGGGGTATCTGACACTGAGTTTCCTTGGAATCACAGAGCCCATTTGTCTGCCTCAACTATCAGGAAGCCGGCTGTTATTCTGCGGGGGTCCGTCTCCCACCCAGGCTGCTATTAGCGGAGTGCATAGTGCGTCCAGGCTGCATGGCAGGAAGTGAGGCAGCCGCAGGTTAGCTACAGAAGACAATGAATTTGCCGCAGTTACAGTGGGTCATCTGCCTGGGGGCCATGGAGCTATTGTTACGGAGGAAGGACGAAAACAAGAAAAAACCAACAAAACTCCACGTTCTTCTCTTTCTATGACATTGGGTCACTGCCCAAAAACAGCCAGCTTAGGGTTGTCGAGGCACAGACTTATTGATGGAGTCAGATGAAGAGAAAATTTCCAAGACTCACTCAGTCCAATTTCTCTGGAGTTCAGGGAATTTCACAAAAGTTCTTTTTTGGTTTACCTGAGGATTGAGTGAGTGTTGGTGCCAAATACTGTAACATATGATGAGGAAGTCTGACATTAGGCCATTGCCTCATCTCAACAACAACAACAACAAAAATGGAATAAGGGAATTCTGGAAATTCCTTCTTCAAATATCGTCATTGACAAACAAATATATACATTCAGTCCAAGCTAACTATGAAGGGTATATGCGCAAGAACCATAACCAAAAATTCTTCTACATGCCACATGTGAAATGTGATTCGACCATTTGGCTCCTCCCTCATACATCACTTCCTGTTCGCGCTAACTCATTGAAGTGCCCTCCGAAGACATTTGTGGCTTGCTCATTCTGCCGCCGTGGCAACCACGTGTCTGTTTCCACAGAGTGGCCCTCGTCATTAAAACTGTGTGTGGGGGGGGGGGGGTGCACAGTTGCACGGAGACGCCTTAATTAGAGCATTGAGCTACGTGCTCAGAATCACTCATTTCAAAAAGAGAGAAAAGAAAACAAACGCGGTGGGCACTAATTGCCGTTTCTGTGCCGATCCTGGAAAACGGGCGGCGTGACACTGAGGCGGTTTCCGGTACTGGCTGTTGGGCCAAGTCCAGCAACCCCAGCCTCCGCTCTAATTTGCACGCCATCGCTGACAGATTTTATGTTTTTTTTTCCCTCAACCTACCATTTCATTTTGAGCATCTTCAACACAGCTGGTTTGACAAGGGAAAGGATGCATTAAGGAGGAGGGTTTTTTGTTTACTTTCTCCTCCTTGCCGTCTGTATAAGAGGCCGATATTGCTCTTAGAAAGGCTGGCTGCCCAGGAGTCTTTCTCAGCGGTGACCGCACAGAACAGCGACCTGTGCGGGGACTCCCGCGTACTCATGGTAACCCGAAAGAAACACGAGGAATAGTAAAGGTGGACCATGCAGCTGTGTGATGACCGAATACAGGAGCGGTGTCAGAGAGGCACTGGCCCCAACTGAAAGCTGATTGGTCCCTGGTGTGCCCCATCCCCTGTCACTCATTGATTCAAAGAATAATGATGAGGTTGGCCCCTCTGTATGAATTATGGTCCATCTTAACCTTGCCTGATATCCCAGAATCACCTCTGCACAGCAGGTATGATATACCTTCACTGGCCACTTTATTAGGTACACCTCGATAATACTGGGTTGGACCTCCCTTTTGCCTTCAGATCTGCCTTCATTCTTCGTGACATAGATTCAACAAGGTGCCTGAACATTCCTCAGAGACTTTGCTCCATGTTGACATGACAGCATCAAGCAGCTGCTGCAGATTTGTCGGCTGCACCTTGATGAGGCAAATCTCCCGTTCCACCACATCCCATAGGTGCTCTGTTGGATTGAGATCTGATGACTGTGGAGGCTATTTGAGTACAGTGAGCTCACTGTCGTGTTAAAGAAACCAGTCTGAGATGATATGAGCTTTGTGACATTGTGTGTTATCCTGCAGGAAGTAGCCATTAGAAGCTGGATACACTGTGGTCATAAAGGGATGGACATGGTCAGCAACCATACTCAGGTAGACGGTGGCATTTAAACGATGCTCAGTGGGCACTAAGGGGCCCAAAGTGTGCCAAGAAAATACCCCCCACACCATTACACCACCAGCAGCCTGACTTCTTCATACAAAACAGGATGGATCCATGATTTCATGCTGTTTATGGCAAATTCTGACCATAACATCTGAATGTCACAGCACAAATTGAGATCAATCAACATTCTTCCAATCTTTCACCATCTAGGATCGGTGAGCCTGTGCCCACTGCAGCCTCAGCTTCCTTTTTTAGCTGACAGAAGTGGCACCTGGTGAGATCTGGCTGTGGCAACCATGCCATGTGCAAAGTGACTTGGATCACCTTTCTTCCCCAGTCTGGCGTTTGATGTGAACATTAACAGAAGGTCCTGACCTGTCTCTGCACAATTTTATACACTGTGCTGCAGACATGTGATTGGCTGATCAAATATTTGCTTCAATGAGCACTTGAACCGGTATACTTAATAAAGTGGCCAGCGAGTGAATAATAAATGAAAATACTCCTCAGCCACCCAAAACATGACCAGTGTCTGAGTAACACGAACTTCGGTGCAAGCGACGATGAGAATACCATGAGAATAGCTAAGGTGTCATGTCCAGCTGATTCATCCACAAAGCATAGAAAATGACGCCATTTAAAATTACAAGGTAGAACCAAAGTTTTGTAGGTGTCCTTTTCTCCAGTTCCAGACAGAGAGAGAGAGAGAGAGAGAGAGAGAGAGAGAAAAGAGAGAAAGTACCCTATAATTACAAAATAAAAGACAAGCTAATCTCTAACTGCCAGGTGGTTTAATTTTGACAAACACTAAGAATACAGAGCAATTACAGGCACCTATAATTAGTTCTATACAGCTAATTAGATGTAGTTTTGAAGATATGGCTTCTATTGTTAATCGCAGAGATGTTAAAAAGTCACCAGCGCTGCCTTGGAAAATTATCCCCGGAGCAACAGCACTAAGTGGGCCGTCGAGGCAGATTTAAGCCTCTGGTTTCCGTGGTCTTCTGGGAGTGTTGCGTGTGTGTGTGCAGCCAGTGTAGGGGGAGGGGTGTCTGTCAGTCAAACTGGCAGCTGGAGCAACTGAGAAGCCTCTGTAAGCTCCGCCTTACAGAGATCCCATGGACATCCGCACGCTGGGAAATTAATGCCGAGTTAAATTAGTTAAAATGTTTTGGTTTTTTTTCCACAACATGTGACATCAGCCAGGTAGCTCCTCTCAGCCTAATACTGGGTTTATTAAGCCGACTAATAACTGTGGACTCATAACTCAGTATGTAAATCTATTTATTTACTGTACGATTAAGAAGTAAGTAAAAATTTATTTACAGAGCGCCTTTCACAGACAGATTCAAGATGGGCTGTAAAAAAGAAAACATTAAAACAGACACAGCAAACAAAAGATTAAAAATATAAACACTCCAATGGACAGTAAATGCTAGAAACAACAACAGAAAGAGCCCATGGCTACCCATCTAGACTAAACAAATACATCTTTAGCTGTTGTTTGAAAGCGTAGTCTGCTTCCGGGCCAAACATTCGTACCAAATTAGCATCTTTTCCCACCAATCAGGAGGTCAATATTTATATTTTATTTATTGCTTTTCGTTTGTACTACAAGCAATGAGAACAAAATTTCACCTCAGTATAGGGCTGCTGCGATTAGGCGATGTAGTCGACGACGTCGACACTGAAAATGTGTCGAGATTGAAATTTTAATCATTTTTATGAAATTACCACCTCTAGAAAAATGTCAAAAATGCTTCCATTCATTATAAGAAATGTTTTTTTTTTACAATATCACTGTAATTATGGGAGTAGTTCAAATTATCACAAAACAAAAAGGTGGTTTGTATACTGTGCAAAGTTCGACGGCGTACCACGGCGGCACCAGGGCTATGCACGAGAAAAACAGACATAGGCGCTGCTCTGCTTGATGGCCATAATGCCATAATGTTGTCGGCCTGCTACCTTAGAATTTCCATTGAATAAGTATTTCACAAAATGTTTAGCCTAAAATCTGGGCTTATTCTACGTTGATTGACGATGTCGGTGTGTGTGTGTTTGTGCATGTTGGGACGAGTGTTGTGACTGTAAACTAAGACTGAAAGGAAAACGCACGGTACGTTTAAAAATAAAATTAACCGAAATAAAAATGAAAATTATATTTACCGCAAAAAGGGTCGGACTTTAATCTGCAAAAAGCACCGTCCACACCAGCACCCTCTTTTTACCTAGTTTAACCACAATATCCTCTTTTAAAAGATGCTATGGCTGCTGATCTGTCCCTTCCTCCACATCAGCTCATTGTGCTCATCGCTTCCATGATTTACCAAAACAGTGGCACGTGGCACGATCTGCTAACTGAATCTGATCAGCATAAGGGTATGCTGAATTTATGCAGATTACTAACTTTTGGGCATCACAATGTTCATCGCATTAATATATTATTAAAGGCATTCTAGTGATCTGCTTATGGAATTGTGGCAGTAAGTAACGCAGAGTGTCGAAAAGCAGCCGTCTGTTATCCAAAGCCCTGCATACAGTTTGTTGTTGTCAAAAAAAATTAATTTCAATGAAATGGCCAGTGTGATTTTCTGGAGGAAAATTAATTGTTTAAATTTGTCGACCAATCGGTAAAACAGATTAATCAGTAGAAAACTAGTCATTAGTGGCAGCCCTACCTCAATGCATCATATATTTGAAGCTGACAATAGGTACTCTGGCTGTTAGGTGACAGGAATGCTCTTTCAGGGATCCCAATATGATTACATATGCGACCTGTGACTTATGTCGAATGAATTTAGTTCATTTCACGCAAGCAATAAACCAAAAATAACCAAAAAGGTAATATGCGGGTGTCATTTTTTTTAGGTCTGTTTTTGAGTGTATCAGCCACAGGCATGATTCAAAAGCAATATAAGAGGGATATGGCACAATCCAAGCATATTGTGATGATTGGGAGCACATCAAGATGATGGATGGTCTTTGGAAACAGGGAGCCAATGAGAAACCTCCATTTTCACAGAGCGAGGCGGTAAATAAAAATTTGAGGGGTGAGATTTGGACAGACTCAGATTTGATCATGGCCAGATCTAGTCACACCCAGATTTGGCCACACCCACATTTGACCACGCCCACATTTGACCACACCCAGGGGGAAAGGGTGATCACAAGCAATGCAGGCACATCCCTCAGAGGAGAGCAGCTCCGGACCCGGTCTTACCTGGTAAAAGTTGGGCCAGAAGATGCTGATGGCCAGCTCCAGCGGGCTCCAGCCAGGCGCCGTGGGCACGGAGGTGTTCCATACCGGGACCCCCAGTGGGCTGCTGTTCTCCTTGACGTAGACGCTGAGTTGCCCGGGACTGGTGGCATCCAGGCCCGACACGTAGTACTGAAGCAGCACACAGTGCGTGTCGTTCTCCTTCAGCTGGGGCATGAAGAGCTGGGCCTTCTGGCCTGCGAAACGGCCTGTGCTGTTCACCATCATGAAGGCCGCGCCTGGGGGGAGCAAGGGGGGGGGGGGGGGGTGTTAGCCGGTGGTCCTCAACCAGCTTGGTCTCAGGACTCACATTTTCCTTTGGTCATTAAGTCAAAACCCAGAGTTTTAAAAACATCTGAACCAAGAACAAAAAAAATGAAGTCTGACATTAAAATCAAATCTCAAAATGAATACTTTTAACCAGATGCCCTGCAACCTCATGAAAATAGCCGCACGGCCCACACTGGGGTCACAAGGCACCAGGTCTAATGGACACCTTGGAGCTGGAAGCCAGACCAGGGCGGACGTTTACGCCTCTCTGCATTTGTTTGGGTCTGGTACCACATTTACACGGTGTACTTTCCGCTGGATCATCCAGCCAGCCTCGAGATCTACGCATGTGTGCAAACGGCAGTAACAGCATGCAAGGTTTTGCTAGAAGACCATTTTGAACTTTGACGGCGGCTACGTTGGTGCTTCCTTATACCAACTGGGTTGTGGTTTGTTTTCCCCGCCCTCCATATGCTACCATGTTGTGCCCTCCTACAGTTAGGCTAATTGGTGTTTACTAAGTCGCCCATTAAGCGTGCACCCGGCGATGGACCAGCATGCCATCCGGGGTGAACCCCAGCCTTGCGTTGCCTGGGATCGGCTCCAGGCCCCCTGCAGCTCCAACAAGGGTCAGCAGTTGGAATATAGATAGCCTTTAAAAGTTTGTCTTCACGTTTTAAAATATTTATTCATAACTTATATTACGATATATAATAAGTCTACATTTTAAGCAGCCCTCCACTTTGGAGAGGGTCACCACATTCTCCTTTAGCCTCCTCTACACAATGCAGAAAAACGAGGCTGCCCGCTAACATGCCTGATCATAACACACACGACGCAGCCTTCGACACGCTAAGAAGCCCCCGGGTTACCAACAGTAACTGGGGAGACACAGAAAAAAATAAGTAAGGAGGTCTAATGAACAACCCCCAGGAGTGGCGTGAACGAGCACCGACAGGCTGGCAGCAGACGGCAGCAGGCGGCAGCCCGAGGACACTCACTCAACAGCCGCGAGAGTCCAGGGACCGAAACCCACCCCCCACCCCAGACATGCTCACAGCTTCTGCTTCGATACTGGGCCTCTTTTTTCAGCCTAGTTAGAATAAAAAACAAATGTCCATCAATGAGTGTATGGCTCAGTGGGTTATGGCTCTGTGTATGTAACTGGAAGGTTGCCAGTTCGAATCCTGGAGCCAGCAGACTGATGCTGCCGTTGGGCTCCTGAGCAAGGCCCTTAACCCCCAGCTCCAGAGGTGCTGCACGCTGAATGACCCTGTGCTGTGACCCCCCCCCCCCCCAAGCTTGCTCTCGCTGGTCTGCGTGTCTCATGGAAAGTGGGATGAGGTAGATGAAAAGAAAATTTCCCCACTGGGATCAATTAACTATTATTCAGTTCATGACCTTTCATTCAGCTCAGGGCTGCATGAGCCTGGATCCTATCATAGGGGGAACAGGTCACATGGCCACAGACAGCCTGGATAAGATGCCATCGCAGAGCACATACACACACAATCACACAGGGACACTTTACAGTGAAAAAACATACAAGAACAGACAAGCCTCATGTGCGGGGAACCAGGGGCAGGAAACAAACCAACAGCAATGGAGGCACTAGCTTGAACTTAGACACGGGACATTAAATCAGTGTAACGATCCTCTGCAAAGCTGCTCTTAATACTACAGCTTCCAAATATTATTTGATCGGATCATAAAGTTGTGGAACAAGCAGAGAAATAGCAATATTACACACAACAGTGCAGAGGAATTAAGAGACTTGGAGACCAGGGATTTCAGCACCCAAAGATAAAATAAAATAGGCCTACTGAGGCTGACTTTAACACAAAATATTCTGATTATTAAAAACTTCTCAGTGATTTGTGTAACTACTCCATGCCTAAACCTGACGTGCTCTTCAGGATGGTTGCAGCCTGTGTGTTTAAGGACTCCGGCTTCGGCATATTAAAGCCACATCCTCGTTTGCTTGGACAGGCATTGGACAGCTGTTCAGACGGGACGTCTCAGGCCCCGGGGGAGCAGCAGGCCCCTCTGTCTGTCCTCCATTCACACACTAAAAGCGTATTTAAAAGCTGATATGTAGGGTTAATAGCTGACATGCCACGACAGCTTTCACACATTTTAAATTATTATTCCACACTTTTAATTTTCCTCTTCATAGTACAGATACTGATGCGTTTTATTTTTATTGTAAAAAGCATCTCATCACACACATGTACAGTGTATGACCCACAGAACTTAAAAAGTATTTTTAAAAGGTAAAAGAGCATTAAAAACCATATTCTTGTTTAACGTATTGAGTTAGTCACTTTCTCTGTGCCTGTGACCCCCCGAGCCCCCACTGACCCCTGCAGAGTGTGTTATTCGCTCCCCCCCCCCATTCCTGTCCTGAGTGTGGCTAAAGCCAGGAGCTCACACGATACTAACAAACCTGTAAAGTTAGATGATGAAGAAATCATTCCTCCTTCGATCCTATTGGTTCTCTGCAATCGCAAGTATTGACCAGTCGACTCGCAGTAGCGGAAGCAGCCTCGGCAGGGGCTGGGTGCCGTGATGCTTTAGTGGAGCGGCAGTGCGGGGGGCTGCCAGCCCGTGCAGGCGCTAATGGGCCTGTGATAAATGGTCCGATCTCAGCTCGGATCATAGACCCTGGCAAACAAGCCGAGTAGCTTTATTTTCCACTAAATCGACACCTTGCAGTCTCCTCCCGGCACCTCCCGTCCTGATGGATCCGAGGCTGCCCTGCACCTCCTCTGACCCGCACAGCCAGCTGCTAACATACCCTGCACCTCCTCTGACCCGCACAGCCAGCTGCTAACATACCCTGCATCTCAGGCTAGCAGCTCGCTTATCCCCGTTAGCCTCTGGCGCTGTTCGCTAATTTGATCATCCATAATACTAACGATGCTTTTTAAGAGCCACCCCAGGATCGATTTAGAGGGTGGATTCCACACATGGGAGGGGCCAGGACCTCTAACACGCTTCACAATGCCACGTACATCTAGCTAACATCGCCCCTCCAGAGTTTGTGGAAATCTTTTTACTATGGTCCTTCTCATCCTTCCAGACCAGTGTTTCTCCACCCAGTCCTCAGGGATCTCCAGACGGTCCTCAGGGATCTCCAGACGGTCCTCAGGGATCTCCAGACCGTCCTCAGGGATCTCCAGACAGTCCTCAGGGATCTCCAGACAGTCCACATTTTTGCTCCCTACCATTTCCCAACTCATCTGAACCAGGTGTTCGCTGTTTGTGATTGGCTGGGAGCAAAGGAGCAAAAATATGGGATGTCTGAGGTTCCCCAAGGACTGGGCTGGGAAACGCTGTTCTAGACATCCATTTAGGAGACCCTCTAGATCTGCAGTTGTTCACCAGTTATGGGCAGCAGGGGCGGGTGGCAGCCAAATACACTAGTTGATAACTGGAAGGTTGTATGTTCTTACTGGCATCCTTAAGGTATAACGCTGTATGTTACAAAACTACAAATCAAACTACATTTAAAAAAAAAAATATAAGTTGGTCTTTGATTTAGCGTCTGAATCAAGGTGCCTCCTCTTATTTTGTTTCTTGTTGAATAAAATGATAATGTAATGGGCATCCCATCCAGGGCACCCCCTGCTGGCTGGGACAAGCTCCAGCCACACTGCGGCCCCAAGTCGGATCAAGCTATAGGAGCATGTGGAACTGAGCCAAACTCTGCACCCGGTCATTCATTCCAAATACGAAACCTCCCATGGATCATTAATTTCGCCCATTCCCTTCTGAAAAGCTGTAGGACTACAGTGAAACCGAGGGTCCTTAACAGCATACGCTCAGTAGGGGGTGCCCTGTGGGCCATCCTAAATGCGGGATCACGTCCTGCTCCTCAGCGGTCCCCCTCAAAGCATCAATTCAAGAACCTTATGAATGTGTCTGTGAACCGAGTCACGGGTACTGTAACAGTGTAAATAACGTAACATTCAAGTGCGTCGCCGGACAAATCAACCGGGCTGTGGAGTGCTGCTCTATTACCGTTACACCCTTACCCTGTTCTCAGTGCGTTCTTATCGTGTTTTTATAACATGAGGGTAGGAGAGCAAACACCTGATGTTGTGTCGCCCTGAATGTAAATCAGCCTTGAAGACGCTCTACCAAAATAATGGCTTCAACATCTCATCAAGTCAACATCTCTCAGAGCTACTCTAAGTGGAACATCGGTATGGCTGCTTCTGCTCAATTAGTTTGTAACAGAGCAGCCTTTTATCCCTTAATGTGCCTCCCCTGCTCTCTGTGTGACGAGTCCTGTCAGAGATACCGTGCATGTGTCACGCTTCCTGTCCACTCTGTTTACTCTCCTCTCCCCCTAATGGAGCTCCTTCCCCCGGCAGAAATTTCCGGCAAACACCAGCAATGTGTGAGGAAGCCTTCACCAGCAACACGGGCGGCTGCAGGTACTTCCACTGTCAAGGAAATCAGGAAGGACCAGTGACATCACTGAGATTCCTCTTTGTCCCCAGAGATTTAAGGATTTCTCCGCACCCCTGGGGGTAGGGTTTGTCTGACTCATTCCAATTGACTGACATACCTATCCTGAAAATGAGATCATTAGTTCTCAAGGGCATCTGCAACACATCTTTCCTGTAAAAGTCTACCCGCCGATTTGAGTCTAATTGGCTTGCAGGTTCATCATGTCATATTTGACGTGACTTAATCAGAATTAAGACGCTGTATTTGATCATTGCTTAAGTTAATTAATTTGTCTCTGTTTAGTTTCTCTTTACCAGCTAATCACGACCTTGCCACTTCTCGGTGATCCTACTACCCCCCCATATCTTTGCCTCTGTGAGACTCCTCTTCTTCCACCAGTTTTTTTATTTTTTACATATTTAAGCACACAAACAAGTATGTCTGTTTTCATTTTTTTTTTTTTACTTCTTCACAGTATTTTTATAATTTATGTAATTTACTGTCTTTGAAA